GGCAGGGGGCACACATGTATATTTAAACTCGCAGAGCAGCTCCTCTGCTCCTTAGTTTAATCTAGTTGAGTTACACCACCTCTTGCTTGTAGCTTGAGCATGCCGACCGTGACACTTACTATATAGTTATAGCTATGAACTACCTTTGCAGCGCTTTTATAATGTTGCTTATAGCACTAATAGTAGAGCTAAAGGTGTATAACCTTACTTTACTTCTTACACAGCTTTAAATCTGTCTTATAAAGCTACACTTTTAAGGCCTTATAGTTGCCTTTTATTATTCTTTTATTCTTTACCTAGTAACTTAACTATGTAGCTAGTAAAGCCTCTTTTAAAGTTAATAGCTATATATTACTCTAGTTAATCTTAAACTTAGCGCTAGCATTATAATTACACTTTTTAGAGTACTTCTTTAATAGCTTGTTACTAGTAGGTAGTATAGCCTTATAAAATAGGCTAATAAAGGAGTTATAAGTTGCTTTTAATTTTTTAAGCCTCTAAGACTTTATAGAATGTACAATAGTAACACTAGATTAATCTAATAAGGCCTGTAAGGCTATAAGTTGCGTAGATAAGCAATTCTATAATAAAAAGTAGTTTATAATAAGCATTATTTTAATTCTAATAAGCTAAACTATCTAGATAGACATGTAAAGTCTTCTTTAAAGTAGCTAAATTAGCGTGGCACCTAAGATTTTCTACTAATTAGCCCCTAGAGAAGCTTCTTTATAAGGGCTGTCTAAAACACTAAACTAAGCCTTACAAGCTATTCTAAAATAGTAACTGTACCCTGTACTACAGAGAGTACTCAGGGCAACAGCTATTGTACGCACCGACAGAAGATCGCTGTACATACGTACAGAGGAAAAAGACAGAGCAATAGAATCAGAAACATGTTGCCCCCACCCTACCTACTTCGTACGCCGCGCACACCGTACACTACTCTTACTCTCGCTACTTAAGTGCTCATACTATAAGCAGCTAGCTAAAAGAGCCTATTTAACATAAAACAATTTTTTTTTCTTATCTTATATAATTTATATAACGTACTTCATAGGCGAGTTGCTTATCTACCTATGTTACTTACTTTTGCTAAGACTCTATTAAACTACTTTTTTTACACTAATACATTCCTAACAACACTACTTAGACGCGCTAAAAGAATATTAGATATAGCTTACACTCTAAGCTTTTAAATAAGACATAAAACTTTTAAAGAAACATGCTGCAGCTATGTACAGAGTCTCCTAAAAGATGCAAAATAACTATAGTACTAGACAACTTTTATAAGCTAATTTTATAGCTAACTTATAAAGGCTAGGTAATAAAAAAAAGCAGGTAATTATTAAGACTATACTTAAGCTATATACGTAAGGATTTTTCTTTTAAATAGCATTTATAGCTAATATAGCTAATTCTTTACGCGCTAAGTGTAATTTAGGCTATGTTAGCATAAACTAGCTTAGTATGTTTAGGAAGTGTTATCTAGACTTTAAAGTAACATTTATATGTAGTATAACTGTAAGAAAGCTTTTTATAAGAGTTCTAGAGTAATTTAAAGCAGGTTTAGCCTTATAGAGAATATTAAAGCTAAGCATAGCATTTAGGATAATAATATATATAACTTTAGTAAGACAGGCTTTATTATAAACTAAATATTTATTAACTATACTTACACTTAAAACTTTACTTTAAGCTTTAAATAACACTTTATAAATGTACTAAGCTAGTTTATGCTAACATAGCCTAGATTACGCTTAGCACATAAAGAATTAGCTATATTAGCTATAAATGCTATTTAAAAGGAAAATTCTTGCACATATAGCTTAAGTATAGTCTTAATAATTACCTACTTTTTCTTATTACTTAGCCTTTATAAGTTAGCTGTAGAATTAGCTTGTAAAGGTTATCTAGTGCTATAGTTATTTATTATTTTTTAAGAAACTTTATATATAGCTGTAGCATATTTTTTTAAAAGTTTTATATCTTATTTAAAAGCTTAGAGTATAAGCTGTATCTAACATTCTTTTAGCGCGTCTAAGTAGTGTTGTTAGGAATGCATTAGTGTAAAAAAAGTAGTTTAGTAGAGTCTTAGCAAAAGTAAGTAACTTAGGTGTGTAAGCAACTCGCCTGTAAAGTACGTTAAGTGTGAAAAGTTTTATTTAAACACTATAGTTTAAATAAAACTTATATTTAGTAAACTACTTACTAGAAAACTATTTTATAGTAGAATAAAACTTATTTTAAGCACTTATAGTAATAATAAATTATATATTATATAAAAAAAAACTAAGAAACGAAAAAAAACTATAAAAGATTTAAAGATACTATACAATAAAGAAAAGCTTAGTTACTATATTTATATTAATTTTCTAGGCTAGATTAGAATTAATAGGTATTTTTTTATTAAAGTTAGTTTACAAATTAATATTTTAAACTATATTTTAATTACTTTAGTTAAATTAAATACTTTTATATTAAGTATATTATATAAAACTTTACTTACTAATTTATACTTTAATAAGTAACTTAAGTAAAAATAGTATAAGCTAAAAGCTATTTTAAATATAGTATTATACTTTTACTTAAAGCTAAAGATAAACGTCTAGATATAATATTATATAATTTTAAAAGTTAGAGTAAGCTATAGCTATGCTATTAAATTTAAGTAAATTTAGTTCTTTATTACACTATTAATGTCAGTTAACCTAGGTTTGATCGAACAAACGTACGCCTAAGGGGCGTACTAAGAGGTGAGTAGGCAAAGATCTTCTTGTTATTAACTACTGCCCTCTCTCTTTGTACAAAGAAAAAGAGCTCTTAAGTACACATAGCCCCTAACACACAGGCTAGATAGCTAACGTTTTAGGCAACCTAATTTAGCTATACATGTGTACAGACACAGCTATACTTATGTACAGACACTAGCAACTTTTTACTTTTATAAAGTTACTTACTTATTTATATGTTAATTTTACTTTTTTTTCTTTTTTTTTTTTTTACTCTTCTACTTCTTTTTTTAGAGCTAACCCTTAGTGCTTTTTTTATTTATAATATCCTCTAGCTTTTTAGCTTGCGTATAATTTAACCTGCCTCTAGAATAGTGCCTATGCTTAGCTAAAGTAAGAAAAAGTTCTTACCTAACTGCATAAAGAAGGTTGTTAAAATTATGTGTTGTCTATCCCTTTAAGTTATTTTACTTTTATAGTGTGTACTTTCCTCTTAGCAGCTTACGCATGTCTAAGAGGATGTACACTATATATAAAGCTTATTATTTTAGTAAAGGAGAGTCTATATTTATCCTATTATGCAGAAGATCTAAATCCACCTCTCTGTGTAGGATTGTTTTAGACACATATGTAACCCCTAACAACTCTTTATATAAGGTGTATAAAGACGCTATAGCTTAGGGGGGGTGTAGGTTAATTGCCTTCTGTGCGAGCGATTAATCCCTAGGGGGGTAGGAGGAGAAGGAGAGGTGTTAGTTAGTTGCCTTCTGTGCAAGCAATTAATCCCTAGGGGGGTAGGGAGGGGGGGAGAGGTGTTAGTTGGTTGCCTTCCGTGCGAGCAATTAATCCCTAGGGGGGTGGGGAGGGGAGGTGTTAGTTAGTCGCCTTCTGTGCGAGCGATTAATCCCTAGGGGGGTAAGAGAAGAGGGGGAGGAGAGGTGTTAGTTATTGCCTCTTGTGCAGGCAATTAATTAAGGGGGGGGTGTTAACAAGGCAGGCTGCTGATAAGGAGCCTCCTCTGCGTGGCTACGCACGCAGTAGGTTTCTGATTGTGCGGCCTGTATTGTCTCCTCTGCGTGGCTACGCACGCAGTAGGCGAGTAGTCGCACAGCCTGTGTTAACAGGAGGCCCTAGGGCGCACAAAGGCTCAGCAGTAAGCCCTCTCTGTGTGGCTACGCACGCAGCAGGTTGCTAATCTTGTCTTTATGCAATTAGTTAATCTAGGGGCGCGCACAAGGCTTGTTCACGCCCTCTCTGCGTGGCTACGCACGCGGTGGGTGTAAGCGTCTAAGCCCTCTCTGCGTGGCTACGCACGCGGTGGGAGTAAGCTTCTTATACAGTGGCAGTTTTATTAATCCTTGCAAATCTGTCTGTTAAGGACAATATCCTCTGCGTAGCTACGCACACAGTAAATAGTCTGTTAATAGACTAATTAGTGTTAGTTAACCTAGGTTTAATTAAACAAACGTACGCCTAAGGGGCGTACTAAAAGGTAAGTAGGCAAAGATCTTCTTATTATTAACTACTGCCCTCTCTCTTTATATAAAGAAAAAGGGCTCTTAAGTACACATAGCCCCTAACGCACAGGCTAGATAGCTAACGTTTCAGGCAACCTAATTCAGCCGTACGCGTGTACAAACACAGCTGTACTTACGTACAGACAATTAAAGCATATTTTATAAAAGTAAATATTTATATTTTAACTACTACCTTTTTTTTAATTATATAAAGCTAATTAGCATTAAATAAAAAAGTCTAGTTTTAAATATAAGCTTTAAAATAGTAATAAAGTATAGTTAACAAGCTTTTTAACTATACTATTTAAATAGTTTTTTTACTTTTAAACTAAATATATATTTTATAATTATATAAAGCTATATAGTTTCTTATAATGTATAAAAATATATATAGTATAAATAGTAAGCTAATTAGCTAAGCTATTTTTAAAAAAAAAAGCTTTAAGTTTAAAAAATAGTAAAAATAATTTTACTTAAAATAAAATAAAGTAATAAGTATTATATAAAATACTAACTTACTAATAAAAAAAGCTTTTTAAAAGTTAGTTTTACTAAGCTTTAATTTACTAATTTATTATATTTATACTATAAAAGTAGCACTAATTAAATAAAAGCTTAAGCTTTATAAACTTTTAAATATAGTAATAAATATTTACTAGTATAACTATTTTTATTTTTTAATTAACTTATATAAAATATAGTTACTACTTTATTTTTAAAGTGTTTTAAGAAACTAGTAAAAGTAGCTAATAGTAGTATAAGTAGAAATTCTAACATAAATTTATATAATATATTAAAAATATATGTTAATACATGTATAGGTTTTTATACTATATAGTTTTAGCTTACTATAGCTATGAATAAACTACATAAAGTTTAGGCTAAAGATAATATACTTTTTATAGTATTACTATAAGTTGCGCTTATAGCGCTTTACTACCTTATATTTTATTATATAATAAATGTAAAATAACTAGTTGTATATAATAATATAGCTATATTAAGAAAAGTGTGTATAAAAATACTTTTACTTATATTTATTAATAACACTTTTTTTTAGCTTTTAACTAATAAGTTATTAGATAAGCTTATTTACTTACTAGCTTTATTTAATACTTTATACTTTTTTATATAATATAAGCTTAAATTAAAGTTATTAGCAGAGCTTGCTCTGCTTATTATGTTCGGGTTTGCAGAACGAAAAGTTAAGCAGAATCTCCTCTTTCAGACGCGCTAGTTAGTTAGAATTTCTTTAGATAAACCCTAGTAACGCTGTTTCTCTGTCACCTTATATGTTTCTTATATTCTTTTTTAAAAAAATGTATACCTAATGTAAGTTCAACTTTATGCTAACTTGCACGCAGTTTGCTATAGCATGCGTTGTGTAAAACATGTTTAAATTATGGTTAGTCGCGTCTGTTACACCTCTCTAGCCACATTGGTGTGTCGGGGATTAGCAGTTGCTCACACACCTGAGTTGCTCACTTTTGCCAAGACCACACCACAACCAACTCTATTATGGCCCATAACAACCCGCTCTAGCACTATATAGTACAGTACAGCCTAGAATATTATTTAGATACTACTTCTACTTCTTGCTTACACGTTTGCGCGTTATGCCTTGTCTAATTGCACTGTCCGCAGCGCCTTTAGGATTGCTTATCTACTTTTGCTTACACTTGCTTCTTTGCCTTCTTCCTGTCACTGCGCGCCCTAAACTCCTTTTAAGCTGTTAAGCGCAGGCCTTTCTAAATGTAGCTGCCTTATTAGCTGCTTAAAGCTTAGTAATTTCCTATTACGCTAACACTAGCTTTTGCGCAATTATTGCTGCCCTTTGTAAGGCTTTTTTTCTAGAGGCATTACCCCTCTAGTGTAACGATTCTACGAATCGTTCCATCTCGGGTTGCTCGGATCCTATCCGAAGGGTCCCTGTATCGGCCCCAACCATGACTTAACCTAGTCCCCTGCAGTTACCCCTATTCCCTTATGTATTTAGTCGCACCTTGCCCCTGTAGCTAGCTTAGTAGTTTTCTAATATCCTATGTATAAGGCCTATAGGTGTTATTAGTATTCCTAGGTCTCTAAGTCCCTACGCACTCCTATATGCCTCTAAGTAGATTTATACTGCATTTAGACCTATTGTCTTACCTGCACTATTACATTATATTAGAAAACTTACTTTTGCTAGTAATAGCCTTATTAATAATATTGCATTAATTATTTATTTAACTATGTCTAACTTTAAGACATGTCTAATTTAGTTTAGGTTATAATTTTTTACACACTATTATATTAAATTATTTAGTTAGTATAAATAGAATCTTAGAAACTTTTTATTAACTAAAGCTTTTAAGTTTAGAACTTTCTATCTCTTATAATTAAGATTACTTTTAGAAAAGTTATAAAAAGTGCGCTAAAGTAGAAACTTAAAAACTACTAATAACTTATTAGAATTAAAGATAACTACTAATGCTTAACTTTTAACTACTATTAGATCTTATTATAAAGACTGCAACTTATTCTAGCTGTAGCTAAGGTAAGATACTTACCTTTAGAACTAAACTACTACTAACCTTAATAGCTAAACCTCTTTTTATAGAACCTAAAGCTAAAAACCTACTAGATTTAAAGTTAAACCTTAGTAGTATAGCTTTTAAAAACTAAGTTACTTAATTAAGAGCATAAATTAAACAGCTAACTAAATTAAAAACTATTAGTCTTAATTATTCTTTACTAATAACTAAATTACCTCTAATAATGCCTTAAATTACCTTTACTACACTAATAGTAAAAGACTTTTTTAGCACTCTTAAGCTCTTTTAAAGCTACCTTACTAAATATATGCTTAAGATTAAGAACTTTATAAACAGCAAAGAACCTATGTTTAAATAATAGTAAGCTTTTATTATAGATAGACTTAATATTAATTTAAATTACTATTAGAGTAAGTATGCACGCATAGCGTTAGTATAGAGACACACTGCTAGTATTGCAAAAGAATACCTAGAGCCTAGATACCTAGCTAAATTAGATAACTTTTATTTTAAAAATATAAAAAAAATAATTAAGCTTTTATAAATGTACTTTATTACTAGTAATAAAGACACAAAGGCGTAACAAGTGTTTTAGACTTTAAAAATATGTAAAAAAGAAGTGTTTTTTACCTTTAAAGCTTACTTTATTAGTGCTACTATTAAAAAGTTTATATTAAAAGTAAAATAGTTTTTCTACTTATAAAAAAAAATACTACTTAGCCTAAAAGTACTAAACTTAGGTTTTAAGCACACTTAAAAAAGCTTCTTTAAGACTATAGTAGCCTACCTAACAGCCTATAACATAGAAAGAAGGAATACCTCTGCTATTTTAAAGTAAACTGTTAATCTTACCTAACAGTCTACTATTAGACCTAGTATAGATTAGTCTTAGAAGGTTTCTAGTAATACATCTAAGGCAGTATACTATTCTAGTGCACCCTAACCTGCACCTCTGTTAGTACTCTAGTCTACCTTAATTACCTATAGACAATCTAGCTAGACACCTGCTCTAGAAAGACAGACAACTTCTAGTAACTATTATAATTATAAAAAACTAGAATATTTTACTAGCAACTACCCTATCTCTAGAGTATAAGAAATAGAGGTAGAGTAGTAAGATTCTAAAAAAAAATTTATAAACATAAATAATTTTAATCTAAATACTTTCTAAATAAAAAATAGCAACACCTAGAAAAACTTTTTATTTTAGGCTTAAGTAAGTATAATTTATTAAACATTAATCTATTACACTTATTTAAAGGAAAACACTTCTAAGTTTTTACTATTTTATATTTAAAAAGCATTAAAGTCTATTTAAATTTTTTAGTTAATACTAGCACTTATAGTTTTTTATTTATTAATTTACTAACTACTAAGTTATTATTCTAATGCCTTTATATCTTTATTTAACACTTACTATTTAAAGTTATAGTTAAGGGCTTTTAAGATTAGATCTAAGTCTCTGTCTACTAGTATATCTGCCTGCACATGTAAATTAATAAAAGAAGTATCTAAAACTGCCTCTTTGTTATTATAGACCTTAGCTTCTAAAATTACATTATTAGCATTAAATAGTTATATTGTTTTAAACTTTATTTAGATATAAAAAAAAATTAAATTATATAGCCTAGTAAATATCTACTTACTTATAAACTTTTGCTGCCCTTACTTATGCAATTAACTTAGCTTACACATAATAAAAAAGTAGAGCTAGATATTAAACAACGCAACGCACTATAAAAAAGGACTAATTTTAGTAGTTATGTAGCCTAATAATCTACTGCATTAAGAGTTTACTAAGGCTACTAAAATTATATAGATCTTCTATTATCTATAGTCTAAAGACACTTAAATTATTTTTCTACTTATTTATTAAGAAGTCTAGAACAGGTCTAAAGAAGGTCTGTTTAGCTAATATTACTTTAATTTTAGTAAATGCTTTTTATTTTAACATAAAAAAAAAACAAGTTCTTTTTAACTTTTATTTATAAAATTAAGTAGTTAATTAAAGATAAGTAAGCTTTATAGTTAAATGCTAAACATAAAACTAAAGCATTAGTAAACCTCTAATTACCCTCTAAATACTATTAGTACTAAAATGTATTTAGCTACATAGCAGCTTACTAGCTACTAGTACATTGTCTATATAACTATAAGATTGTCCTTATAAAGCCTCTCTTTAATAGTTACAGTCTGTTGTACAAATAGAACCTTAAAGAGCTAACGTACTTCATGGGCGAGTCGCTCACACACCTGAGTCGCTCACTTTTGCCAAGACCCCACCCCAACAAACTCTATTATGGCCTATAACAACCCGCTCTGGCACTATATAGTACAGTATAGCCTAGAATATTATTTAGATACTACTTCTGCTTCTTGCTTACACATTTGCGCGTTATGCCTAGTCTAATTGCACTGTCCGCAGCGCCTTTAGGATAGCTTACCTACTTTAGCTTGCACCTGCTTCTTTGCCTTCTTTCTATTACTGCGCGCTCTAAACTCTTTTAGAGCTGTTAAGTGTAGGCCTTTTTAAATTATTAAAGTCTTTTCTACCTTAATTTACTTTTTTTTATGTAATTTATGTTATGTAGTAGCCTTATTAGCTGCTTAAAGCTTAGTAATTTCCTATTGCACTAACACTAGCTTATATATAATTATTGCTGCCCTTTTTAAGACTTTTTTAAACACTTTAACTATAAAAGTTAGTAAACTATTTATATGCTTTTAAATTCTTATTTTTATAAGCATTAATTACAACCTAAGTTTTAAGGTATTACTTAGGGTTTACAACTGCTAGGGCTTGTTATATACAGGTAGTAGTAGTAATAGAGTGCGTAACTTTACATTAAGGCCTATTATAACCTGTTGTAGGTTAAAAGGAACTAATCTAGCGCCTTAAAACCTTTCTTAGATATTACTAAAAGTAATTATAGTATTATAAGCTGCTTTAAAGCATAGCAGGAACTTTATTTTTATAATATAGGTAATTTAGTTGCGCATAAGGTTTTTAGCTTAGCACTTATACACCTTCTTTAAAGAAGTAAAACAACCTACATTAAGTAGCTATAGAAAGTATAATAAGTAAGAAAGTATATAAATAGTAATAATCTTATTATCTTTATAGTATTACTAGAAATAAAGTAAGTTATAGCTTTTATAGCTGTTAATAACTAGTAGATAGTAGCTGCTAACAGTACACTTTTTTATATGCACGTTAAAGTGCTTTAACTAGTCTAGACTAAGCTAATTAGTAGTCTAGCTGCGCTTAAAGATTGCAATAATTTAATTCTAAAGTAGATTTTCCTTTTTATACTAGTTTAAAAGGTAGTTGCTACTCTAAAAGATAATAAAAAGCAGAATAGCCTACCTTTTAGCATTAATGCCCTAGATAGCTGTTGTCTACTCCTAGTTACCTAGCTAGACTGCTTTTAGCTGTCCTTGTCTCTTTAAACTTATAATAACTGCTCTAGTAAATATCTAGCTTATTATAAACTCTGTCTTATTAAAGTTATATGTGTTATTATTTTAGATGCTATACTTAGCTTTAATATTCTTTATAAAGTTAAACTAGCCTTAAATTACTATAAGATCTTTATAAAAAGCTTTTTTATAGTTATACTTATGCTTAAACTTTACTTTAAGCTCTAGATAACACTTAATAAATGTATTAAGCTAGTTTATGCTAATATAGCTTATATTATGCTTAGTGTGTAAAAAATTAGCTATATTAGCTACAGCTACTAGCTAGGGGGGAAATCCTTGCGCATCTAGCTTAAGTATGTGCTAAATAATTACCTACTTCTTATTATTATCTAGCTTTTATAAGTTAGCTGTATAATTAGCTTAGAAAGGTTATCTAGCGCGTTAGTTGCTTATTATTTTTTAAGAGACTCTGTAGATAGCTGCAGCGCGTTAGTTAGAAAGTATTGCGTTTTATTTAAAAGCTTAGAGCGTAAGCTGCATCTAACATTCCTTTAACATGTTTAAGTAGTGTTGTTAGGAATGCATTAGTGTAGGAAAAGTAGTGTAGTAGGGTCTTAGCAAAAGTAAGCAACTTAGGTGTGTAAGTAACTCGCCCATGAAGTACGTTAAAGGCAATAAAGAAATATATTATAGATAATCTAAAATATAGCTTTATTAAGCAAAGTTAAAGCCCTTTTACATTTTTTATTCTTTATATATAGAAACTAAATAGTAACTTATATATCTACATTAATTACTATAAACTTAACACTTTTACTTATAAGAATGTGTATTTAATACTATGTATAGATAAACTTTTATTAAGACCTACTAAGGTAGTAATTTTTACTAAGTTTAATATTTACATAGCTTTTAATAAAATTAGAATAAATCTAAGCTTTAAAAAGTGTACTACTTTTTAGATATAATATAAAACTTATAAGTGTAAAGTCTTACTTTTTAGATTATGTAATAGTCTAGTAACTTACTAGCGCTATATAAACAATATATTAATTAACTATCTAGATAATTTTTATATTACTTCTTTTAATAATATTTTTATCTACTTTAAAAATAAAGTAACTTATATCCTCTGTATTAAAAAAGTCTTAGAAAGGCTCTAGTAAGTAAGATTATAAGTAGAGATTAAAAAAAGTAAATTCTATATTACTTAAATAAAGTATCTTAGCTATATACTTTTAAATAAAGGACTAGAGGGTAACCTAGAGAAAGTAGAGGTGCTACGCAACTAGCAGGCGCCTACTACTGTAACAGGTGTGAAATCCTTTCTAGGCTTTACTAAATTTTATTAGCAATTTATTCTAAAAAAATTTTATATAGTAAAACTAATTATTACGCTTTAAAGCTTTACTACTTTTTTTATATAAACTTTAGAGTGTAATGTAGCTTTTAAAAAGCTAAAGTCTACGCTACTAAGTATACTTACACTTTACTATTTTAACTTTATGTTATAAACTAAAATTAAAACTAACACTTTTAATAAAGTAGTAGTAGGAGTTTTTTTTTTAGAAATAAGTAGATAGAAATTAGTGCCTTATATTATTTTATAGTAAGGTCCTATCTAGTTTAGAGCTAAACTAGGAGATATATAATAAAAAGCTATTTATAATTATTACTATGTTTAAATAATAAAGGGCTAAGCTTACATTTATAGTAATAAGCACCCTAGTATATACTAATTATTATTTATTAAAGTACTTTATAATAATAAAGGTGCTAAATGCTTATTAAGTCTGTTAAGCTAAAAAGTTAGCTTAGTATTACTTTTAAATTAAGTACACCTTTAGTAAAAACAACACTAAGGCAGACATTCTTAGTTGTTGTAAATAAGACATAGAAAATTTAGGAGCAGCTTAAACTAATAATAAGTTAAAAGTTCTACTAAGACTACACTAACTACACTCTTAAATTAACTTTAAACTAGCCTAGTACTATATTACTTAAACAACAACTTAAGCAGCTACGCTAAACATTATAAAAGAACTAAACTAGGTTATGTTTTTAAATTCTTTAAAATTAATTAACATATTACTTTAAAAGAATTAAGCTTTTTTTACATAAAAGTAAAAACTCCTACCCTGCTATTATTAAATAGGAAATAGACTACTTCTTTATGCTAACTGCTTATATGTGCTAGCAGACTTACTACTATGTACCTAACTTATTTAAAAAGTCTATAATTAAGTATTATTAGCACACTCTAGTGCTACTAAGACTTATTAGTTACTGTTCTAAAAGTACTACTAGAAGAGTATAAAAGCTACTTATAAATAATATATACAGAATTACCTCCTCTGTTATAAGGCTTATCTAAAATAGACCTAAACTCTAGGCTTTATTTACCCCTTACTAATTCCTGCTTAACTAATGTAGCACCTATGTATTAACTTTAAGGATTTTTCTAAAGATAAGTCTAGTTATAACTAAATTATAGTTATAATTAATTATATATTTAAATAAGCTATTTTTATTCCTTACTATAAAATAATTAACGCTTAAAAAATAGCTGCCTTATTTATTTAATAAGTGTACTATTTTAGCTACACACTTAAAACTATTATCTTTAACTAAGGACTTTAGTTTATATCTAGTTTCTAGTCTAAATTCTATTAAATTCTAAGTATAAAAGTTAAGCTCTTTACTACTTATTATAAAGAAATAGATAGCTAAATAAAGATTATAAATAAGTATATTAATTAAAGACTAAGGCTTTTTATATTCTTTTACTAAGATAACTAGAGTTCCTTACTGCCCCTAATTAATTAGGCTTAGATAACTTTACTTTATATAATAATTAAAATGTTTTTATATTAAGTCTTATATAGCTCTAAACTACATTAAAGCTAGGACTAGAAATATTCTACAGAACCTATTACAGCTATAGACAAGCTAAATTATAAAGATGCCTTAGCATTAGCAACTTACATGCATGCAGCCTAAGAGTTAGCTAAGACCTATATAGAAAAGGCCTAAAATTAGATGTAAACTGTAGTTAACTACTACTGCTAGCTAGTTAACTAGAAAGTTAGTAACATAGTCTACCTAAACACTAAGAACCTTACTATCTAAAGACCTAGCTAAAAACTATCTAAATAATAAAAAGGCCTCTTTAAGGTACTTAAATAAGTTAGAAACTTATACTACTTAAAGCTACCTTTAGAGTTAAAGATACATAACATCTTTGCACTAAATATGCTTTATAAAGACCCTTAAGATCTACTTCTAGAATAAGAACTTTTAAAACCCCCTAGAATTACTATTAATAGAGTAGAAAAGTAAGAAGTAGAGAAAATACTTACTAGTAAGCTTTACTAGAAAATGCTTAAGTACTAAGTAAAATAGATAAGACATAACTCTAATTTAGTCTAGTATAAAGCTTTAAATTTTATAAAGTCTTCTTATAAACTAAAGGCCTTTTATAATAAGCATTTAAATTAGCTAAGACCTTTAAAGGCTTTATATAAGTAGATTAAGGCTTTTAAAGCTAGTATAAAAGGCATAGATTACTTAGCAGATAATAAAGTATAAAAGTAAAAAGTTAGATTATATTTTTACATAATATTATTATAACTTTATAGACATGTTACTTAGAAGGTTTAACAGCAAGCTGTTAGACACCTCTAGACTTTTTTTTTCTCTTTTTTTACTTTTCTTTCTTTTCTCTCTCTCTTTCTTTTTTTTTTCTAGACTCTCTTTAAACCCCCTCTACCTTATCCTTAGCTACCTAAAAGTGCTATAATGTTTGCCTAAAGGTTAAACACTAGAGCTTTTAAAGCTAAAACCTGTTAGAGCAGCTTAGTATTCTAGTAGAATAAGGCTACTTAAACACTAGCTATAGAAAGCCTAGCTTTCTAACTCTTTATAACCTACACTACTTACGCTAGGTTCTAAGTAGACTTTAAAATAGCTTTAAAGGCCCTTTTTTTATTTTCTTTACTTCTTATGTTTTAAGCTGCCGCCTATAGCTTAAGATAGCCTTAAAGGACTAGAAATTCCTTCTTATAATATAAGAGGACCTATATGCGCGTTAGTAAACTATACCCTAGCTATATTAAACTATATTTATATAAAGTTGCATTTTTTATTATATAAGGTGTAATACTTGCATTTCTTTAATTTAAAAGACTAAAAAGAGAACTTAACTTAAAGGCTACAGGCTAGGGCGTAGGCAGCCTAAAAGTAGATAACTTAAAAGGCCTCTAAAGAGGCTCTAGAAGGGGGGCAGAGCAGCATAGTAAATTTCTTTAATACTATAATTAGTTAGCAGACTAAGCTATAGGATGTTAGGTGCACAACAATACCTATAAAGTAGAGATTTAGATAATAGCTAAAGAAGAAACTAACAACATTAACTAGACTATATAAGTAAGGCAAGTAAACACTTATTGCTATAAATACTAAATTTACTATATTAATAACAACTACACTGCTAGTTACTACTAAACAAAAACATTATAATAAAGGCATTATATTAGTATTAGGTTTTTAGTCTATTTCTTAGTAACAGGAAATTTTAGTTAAAATAGTTATACTTGTTATATCCTATCTAAATTAGTTCTAAATTAGTTCTAAATATTTTCTACACACTGCAGATAGAGACTATTAGCTTACAAAGGGGGGAGTAGTGTAATAATTCTATAAATTGTTCTATCTCAGGTCGCTCAGATCCTATCTGAAGGGTCCCTGTATCGGCCCCGACCATGACTCGACCCAGTCCCCCGCAGTTACCCCTATTCCCTTATGTATTTAGTTGCACCTCGCCCCTGTAGCTAGCTCGGTAGTTTTCTGATATCCTACGTACAAGGCCTATAGGTGTCATTGGTATTCCCAGGTCTCTAAGTCCCCACGCACTCCCATATGCCTCTGAGTGGATTCATACCGCATTCGGACCCATTGTCTTGCCTGCGCCGTTACATCTAGAACCCTCTCTATACGTAGAGCTACTTGCAACACAACTGATATCTACTAGGGATTGCTGCCTGCTGCTGTAATCTACTGTATTTTGCTGCAATTTGCTATAGTTTGCCGCAATTTGCTGTAGTTTCCTGTAGTTTGCTACAATTTGCTATAGTTTGCCGCAATTTTCTGTAGTTTGCTACAATGTGCTGCAATTTACTTTATGCATTTCCTAACGCTGCTAGGTAATCCCTCACTAACACCTCTAGGCATCAGCCTATTATATTTAAACAGCAGTTAAAGAAGCTAAGCTAGCGGTTGTGCAAGCAAAACGGCTTGTTAAGATATTACATGTACTACATTAATCTTTGCGGCGATAGAGAGGCAGAGGCAGAGGCAGAGGCAGAGGCAGCGCTGTTATTCGAGGATGACATTTCGACGGATGGCAATCCTCTCATGAGGCTTTTTGCTTGAAAGCACATGCTACAGGCAACCGCTTAAGTAAAAGCTCACAACGCCGTCCTCGCGGCAAAGCGTTCTGAGTGCCTAGCTGAGCCATGGTCCGACTCGTTGTTCCTGATCGAGGATCTATGCACACCTCGAACTGCATCAAGATACCAGCAATGAAGTGCTTGATGCCAGCTTGTGCAAATGGCTTGCCCAGACATAAACGTGCACCATATCCGAAAGGTATATAGCATGACTGTATCACGCGAAGCACTTCTCCCTTGGCGTTCAGCCAGCGTTCAGGCTTGTAAGCTTCTGGGTCTGGGAACACTTCTGGTCTGTGATGTATAGCGAGTGTTGATGTTGAGACAACAGTCTGCATTCAAGGTTCAATGATCAGCGCGCGTGATCGTGTTAGGAAAGACTTACATTAGCAGGAAGCACGATGCCATTGTACGCCCCGGTTGTAGGCACGACTCTCTCTGCTCTGCCGCTCGATAGCGGGTGAAGCCGACTTGATTCAGTGATGCAGGCACCTAAGATCGGCGCAGACTGAGGGAAACTGAATGCAGAAAGGCCGTCTTCTTTGAGTGGTATGGCAGAGAGCTCCTCACGGATCCGTCTTTGCCATTCTGGACAGTTGGCCAGATTCCAGAGGACATAAGTGAGTGCCAAGGCCACTGTTGATAGATTGCGCGGCATGGATGTTGTCCAGCAGTTCCGCCGCGATCCACGATTTGGGCAATGGCTCGCCATCGGGAGTCTTGGCTGTGCTGAGCACATGGAGCAGCGAATCGACAGCTATATCTTCGGGTTTTCGCAAGGCAGCGTCAACTCTTCTCATGTTCCAGTCAGCCAGCTTATCATCGGCGGTCAAGAAGTCTCGCTTATCGCTGCAGTACGAGAATATGGCTTTGATGGCCTTGTGTGCTACAGGGAAGTTGTACAAGAGGTTGTTCCAGAGTTCGACTGTCATCCATCCTGCGAGTATGGTCCGCTCGAAGCACGATTCATGCTCAATCGTTTGTGCACAGAGATCTCAGCCATACAACAGTCTCGTAATGTTGTCGAAAGAGAAGAAGTTACAGACGATTAGTATGTCCAGTGTTGCGTGGCCGTTTTCGGTGCGTCTCGCCAGCTGATGCAGCGTCTTCTTGACATTGTCCCGAACAGGTTGCAGCATGGCAGACTTGAAGACAGACGTGGGTCTGTAGAAGGCGATGGTGCGCTTCAGGATCTCCTGGTGCTCCTTCGCACCAAGAGTACAGAAGACAGAGCGATGGCAATACGCCAGAAAGTTGTTGAAATACCTACTCTTTGGAAGTCCGCAAGGGGCACCGTATATCTCCCTTGTTGAGACAGCGTCGGAGAAGGAGACTTCACCCGGCGCAATCAGAACAACGTCGCCATAGCGTCGATGCTACTCGTGGATCTTCTCGACCCTGCGAAGCCATATATCATGCCAAAGTGTCCAATATCGTGTAACCTTGCACACTCGAGGTCCAGGAATGTGTCTGTACGGTGAGAGGTGTAGTGCATAGATAACTCTGCCAAGAACGAGAGTGGAGAGAAAGACAATAGCCCAAACTGAAGTAGCGGCTAGAGACATGTCGGGAGCTTGTCGAGATGACACATATCTGCCGTGCATGCGCGGCAGAGCTCTCGTCGGCCATGTTATACTTTGCCCTGAGTCCTTAGGAGGTCACGCAAAGCATCCCGAGCGCCACGCGGCTCGTAAGCACCCAATGAGGCTCTGGCCCAGCCTTTCGGTCTGTCTCGTGGAAGCATAGAAACGAATGAACAACGCAGGGGATCCATGCCTCCGGAGTTGTCAGCTTGCTTCTTGCCTTGTCATTCTGCAATGCTGATCACGACATGCTGCCAATTAGACACCATGCACGATGCGTTGTCCATCGGAGGATGAAGGCGAGATCGTCTACCTAGAGCGTGTACTTCTCTCATGCGCGAGATGTTGTGAGGTGGCTTGGGGTCGGTGAAGAGCTGGACATGCACATTCGGGTAGAAGCTGGAAGTACTTCAACGAGGTAAGTTGACATTTGCTAGGTACTATACGTTCTTCGTACTGCTGCACTGTGAGTGGTAGTGTGCAGCTTGCTGTCCTGGCCGTGTCAATCGCGTTCCGTAGTCTCAGACATCGTCGAGTCTGCTCAATGAAGCAGTAGTTTGACTATTGATCATCCTCATCATCAAGATCTACCACCTAGATGTCCATCAGCCCATCGATCTGTACTCGACCAAGAAATGGCTAGCACTGATAGCGGTATCCCGGGATTTACCAGTATCGGCTCCCATGCAATGGGAACACACCAGACATCAAGCCGTCAGCAACAGGAAATATTATCTCCGACACTCGCAGCTCAACGCTCTCAACCGTACGAATTACGTTTCATACTTTTCGTCTCAGTACTGTCACGTGAGCTGTAGCAAACGTAGTATAGTCCTTGTACGTTTTGTTTTGTCTTGTAAGTTATAGCTGTGGACTGTACTGCGTCTTAAAAGCTTAACTTTTAGGTAGGGATTGCCTATTAGCTTAGACATTAATAGGTAGGGACCTGTAGCACTGTTAGATAAGTTTTTTAATAAGCTAGTTGTTAATTAGGGGGTAAGATTACCTAATAACCTAGGTGCAGCATTTTCTACTTAAATTAACACTACTAAATCTTTCTATATCTTAATATTATGTTAACTATGCGCAATTTCCTTAGTTAACAAGCCTCTACGCAGAGCACTAGCTAGTTGCAGAGCTCTTAGAGCTCTTAGTTAACCTAGGGTAGTAACATAATCTATTACACTTGTTCCTGTTGCCTAGAGAAGTTGCAATTATTGTTATTAAAGTTCTTATTTTATAATAGCTCTTTAGCTCCTGTATATAATTCTTATATAAAAGAACACCCTAGAGATTCTTTTCTTAATCTAGAAGTTATGTTTCTAATAAAGTAGGATAATATATAGCTTGCTAGCAAAAAGCTAAAGGCAGAGGAGCTAGGTTACTATGTAAAACACTTTTCTTAGCTCTAAGGTAACAGGAAGGCGTTAGCAGTGTAGAACTATAGAGCTAACTTGCTATACATTAGAGAAGGCTTAAAAGTAAAGCTCTAGCTCTACTAACTCTACTATTATAGAAGTAATTACGCTGCTACTAAAATAGTTAACAGCTATAGCTATATTAGCTACTATCTTAAAAAAAAGCATAGAATTAATATTAGTAGTAATAAAAGTCTCTTACTTAATTCTTCTTATGCTTTACTTAATCCTTAGGCAGCAACAGCTGCTACAGTAGCAGGCTTAGCCTAAGTTGCTTCCTACAATCCCTAGCAAGAGAGGTTGTTGCAGAGGTTGTTAGTAAACTAGGTTATACTTTATAATATATTATTTATAACAGCATCCTTAGCTAAACTCTAAGGCTTTTTTACCTAAAACTAACTAGATCTTCTTGCTGCTATCCTAAGCTTAGATGTAATAATATTATTATATATAAAGCAAGGGTTAACACGCTAGAAGAAGAAGATTTAAATAATATTAAAATTAGCTAAGTTAAAGGTAGCGTTAAGCATTAATATATAGACTTTACTAAACTACCTTTCTTTTCTTAGAGTAGTAGCTTACTTTCTTAGTAAGTTTAGTAAAACCTTAAAAGGGCTATTTTAGCGTTTTAGCTTAAAAAACTAATAATAAATAATAACTAACTTTTACTTTATAAATGTTAATTATTAATAATAAGACTTACTTATTAGCTTCTATAACCTTTATAGTAACTATATAGGGGCTAACTAAGCGTAGGCTATTTTTAAAATTATCTAGAATTATAAAATTATGTTAAAATTTAGTTATTTTATTACTAATAACATGTCTAATAATAACAACTCTACTATTAACGCTTTAGCTAAATATCTTAGAGTTAACCTTAATAGAGAGCACTGTATACACTGTATAGGCCACATAATCTAATTAGTGCTAAAGGTAGTTATTTATAGCAAAAGATTATTATAATTTAAAGCTGCTCTTGCAAACGCAGCTTTCTAGAATTAGTTTAAGCTTTATTATAAACATAGAGTTATTAGTAAGCTACATAACTTTATTAATACTATCCTTTTATTATATAAACGCTAGGAGGCCTTTATAGCTGTATAATTATCTCTAGAGGAAGAGGACAAGCTCTAGAGCTTTAGCACACTTAATTTAATACAGGACAGCAGCGTCTGCTAGCATTCTGTATATCTAATGCTTATACAGTGCCTAGAGCTTAAGAATCTAATTACTAAGTTTATCTAAAAGTAGCGCAGCACAGATAACAACACTAAGAACTTTAATATACCTAGCAACACAGCTCTTTAAAAGATTATTAGTAAAAAAGACTAAAAGAAGGTTAAACACCTTACTAAGTTTTTTAAAGTCTTTTATTAAATAATAAAATAGCTAGAGGGCAATAGTAAGCATAGTTCTTTATAGATATCTATTATTAACATGTAAGTGCTGTATAATAAGCTGTTGCAGATAAAGAAGAAACTTTTCTCTAAGCCTAATAATAGTTACTTTAAAACTAGTGTTATTTTTAGACTTAAAAAAATTAACATATATTTCTAAAAAATAGTTATTAATTTTTTTATCTTTTACTTAGTAATTGCTACTATACTTAACCTATAACTTTGTATACTTTAGTTTAAGGACTACTAGCATTATTACTAATCCTAGTACTAGAAGGTAGAGACCTTAATAAAAGTTATTTTCTAGCATTACATTAATGCTAAAGAAGATAAGAAAGTTAATATAAATCCTCTCTAGTAAAAGCTTCTAGTAATAAGCTTTTATAACTCTTATTACTAAAAAGCTTTTATAGTTAACACTTCTCTTCTTACTAAGGCCTAAAGTTATAAGAAAGCTTAAAAAATAATAGAGTTATAGTAATACTTTAATGCTTATGTAAAAGACTTTTAAGACGCTAAAGTAAAAAATAGCTATTTTTTATAAGCTAGCCCTTTTACTTAGTAGCTTAAAGTAGGTTAAAAATAGTATCCTACACTGTTTAAAATCGCTCTTAACTTTCTTGCTATACCCTCTACTAGCTGTGACTGCGAGAGAGCCTTTAGTAGAGGCTAGCGTACAGTCACAATTAATAGAGGTTCTCTCTCTAGGGCTACTATTAAGGCGCTTTAATTGCAGAAGAATTAGCTATGTTATTAAGTTATAGAAAGCAACTTAATTAAGCTTATAAACCTTATCTAGAAGTAGCTAGTTACTATACTATAAAACATTAACAGCAGCAAGTAAGATAAAATGTTAAAAAGTATAAGGATTTTAGTGCGTTTTAGTTTAGCAGCAAAACAGACAGCTAAGTCGCCCAGGCTGTACAAACGTAGCAGGAAAGTGAGACGTTGACGTCCGTCGATTACTACGTTTTGTTTCGTTTCGTTCGGTTGAGAGCGTTGCACTCGCTCAATCTGGAGGGTACGAAGACACAGACGGGAACGCATCGTACATCATGGGCAGCGAACCTCAAAGCGTCTCAGCAGCCAATGGCAGTTTGCCCGCCCAAAAGGCCCAAAGTGAGCTTCCAGAAGACGGTCGGGACTGAGAGCGCAAGGAATTCATCGTGGGGAGCCCGACGTCGTTGCAGAAACTGACATCATTGGACCTAGTCGAGCTTCGCTTGCAAGCCCTTTGGTCTTCTGTCCTTGCACTAGATCTGGACAGCATCAAACCCGATGACAGTTTCTTGCGTCTAGGTGGCGATTCGATTTCGGCCATGAAACTGGTCGGCAATGCACGAGAGCAAGGACTTCTTCTCAATGCTGCTGATGTGTTCAGGCAGCCGACACTACATCGTATGGCAGGCATGGTCAGCAAGCTTCCAGAAGGCGACACCGTTGTTGCTCCTTTCGCCTTACTCCAGGAGCCTCGTGACGTGGCATCGATTCGAAATGAAGCTGCTACCGCTTGTCAAGCCGAAGCTGCCGATATCGAAGATGTGTTCCCTTGCACACCTCTGCAAGAAGGTCTCCTTGCACTGACGGCAAAGCATCCAGGAGATTACGTCGCTCGATATGCATTTCGATTGCTGCCTACCACCGACGTTCAGCGTCTACGGAGCGCATGGATTCAAGTGGTGGCAGCTAATCCGATACTTCGCACACGCATCATTGATATCCCGACACGAGGACTGGCCCAAGTGGTCATGAAACATTCAACAACGCAGGCCTGTCAAGCTACAAACACGACCCTTGCTGAGTATCTCGACTCAGATCTCTTAGCCCTGACCGGTCTGGGGCTGCCACTCGTACGATCTGCCGTCTTGCAGGAGTCTCATGCAGACACAGAGCTGTCAAGGAGCTTCCTTGTTTGGACTGTCCACCATGCAGTGTACGATGGTTGGTCGAAGACCATTCTCCTCGAACAACTTGTCAAGGCCTATCATTCTGCACAGGACCCGAGCAAGGGACTGCCTACTGCAATCCAGCCTCAATTCCAGGCTTTTGTGAAGCATATCAAAGCTGTGCCAGAGGATGAACTGATCAGTTTCTGGTTCACTCAATTTGAAGATCTTGAGGCAGAACCCTTTCCTCTATTGCCTTCACCAGACTATCAGCCGAGGTCTAATGAAGGAAGGACGCTCACTGTTGACGGATTAAAGTGGCCAAGCCACGCCGGTGTGACGCCAACAGTCGTTCTTCGTGCTGCTTGGAGCATTCTGAGCTCAAAATACACCAACGCCAAGGACACTTTATTTGGCGTCACTGTGAGTGGTAGACAGACAGCCTTTCGCGGTGTAGAACAACTCACTGGACCAACCATCGCCACAGTACCTTTACGAGTCATTCTGGATCCAGCCATGAGTGTTCAAGACATACTTCTCCAAATTCAGCAGCAGGCTGTTAGCATGACAGAGTACGAACAAGCTGGGCTTCAGACAATCCGCCGTGTCAGCCCACAGGCGGCAAGAGCCTGCGACTTCAACTCTCTACTTGTGATCCAACCCCGCATAGATAGAGAGGACCAGGATGCCCTAGGCAGCCTTTTCGTGACTGACAGCCAATATCGCGCAGGATCTGAGGATGAGATGGCAGAGTTCCGCACATACGCACTATCTTTGGAGTGCCAACTGCACGATGACAATGTAGGGATCTTCGTCCGATTCGACTCTGTCGTGCTAGGTGGTGAGCAAGTGGTCCTACTCATGCAACAGCTAGGGCATATCGTGCGTCAGCTATGTAATGCTCATCTTGCCCAAACAAAGCTCGCAGACCTTGACTTTGTATCGCAACAGGACCTTGAAAAGATCTGGGGCTGGAACTTGACTGTGCCACTTGGTGTTGAGAGCGCCGTCGTACATGGTTTGATCGCCGAAAAAATGAAACATCAACCAGAAGCTCAGGCAATTTGCGCATGGGATGGCGAATGGACCTATCGTGAGCTCGACGAGCTATCGACCTGTCTGGCGCACCAGATCGTGGGCCAAGGAGTCAAGCCTGGAGTGATCGTGCCGCTGTGCATCGAGAAGTCGAAATGGATGCCTGTAGCCATGGGTGCGGTTATGGAAGCTGGTGGTGCATCAATTGCTCTTGATTATGCACAGCCGGAGCAGAGGCTCCTCAGCATTATGCGGCAAGTAAGTCTAGTCATTATACTAACCTCAGCAGCAAACGAAAGCCTCGCCCATCGCTTGACTGCTGGCCCGGTGGCTGTAGTCGACGAACGGCTGACGAATAGATTGACTCTGAATACAGGCCGAACATTACCGGCGGTACAACCGTCTGATATGCTCTATCTGGTCTTCACATCTGGCAGCACTGGTGAGCCTAAGGGTGTTGTTGTCACCCATGCAAACATCACCAGCGCGATCCTTCACCAGCGAGGATGCCTCGGGTTCAGCAGCAAGTCACGCCTCTTCGATTTCGCATCTTACATGTTCGACGTCGTGTGGTGCAACCTAGTCCAAGGACTTTCAGCTGGTGCTTGCATCTGTATTCCGAGTAACGACGACCGACGCAATGATATGGTAGGAGCGGCAATCAGGCTCTCAGTCAACACAGCTATCCTTACGCCATCCATCGCTCGTGGCCTTGACATGAAGGCGCTCGAAAACCTGACTCATGTGTTTTTCATTGGAGAGCCACTGTCCACGAGTATTTGTGATGGTCTGCCTCCGAACACCGTGGTCACAAACTTATACGGGCCTACTGAGTGTACCACATTCAGTACAGCTCAGGTGGTCGATAGAACGTCGTTGAAGCACATTAGTATTGGTACCGATGTCGGCCTGAACACATGGCTGGTAGACCCTTCCGATGACTCCAAGCTTGTACCCAAAGGATGTATTGGAGAGCTCCTGCTTGAAGGTCCTCTTGTCGCAGCGGGCTATCTCGGTAAATCTGCAACCACTGCGACCGTCTTCGTCAACGACTTAGCCTGGCTTCTCGAAAATCCCACAAGTGCTGGCCCCGAAGGTCGTCGAAGCCGATTGTACAAGACTGGAGACCTCGCAAGGTACAACATCGACGGCACCCTAGAATTTCTCGGGCGGAGGGACTCTCAGGTCAAGCTGAACGGCCAGCGTGTCGAATTGGGCGACATCGAGCACCACATCAAGGCATGTCTGGAGCATAGTGAATATATCGACGTTGTCGCGACAGTCGCAAAGCCGCAAGTAAGCAATAAGGAAGTGCTCGTTGCCTTTCTGAAAATCCACAAGCTGTCTTCTTTCGATGACATGGCGTTCGATGCAGCCTTCAAAAAGGTCACAAACGTACTCAATAGCAGACTCCGTGCTCGTGTGCCAGCTTGCATGATCCCTTTAGCATACATCCCGCTGGACTGTATTCCGACTACCCCCAGTGGTAAAACCGATCGGCGCAAACTCCAGACTATGGCTCAAAGATTGAGCTTTCAAGAAGTGGCTGCGGCAACTTCTGATTCATCTCTCTCAGAAAAGAGACAGCCTTCTACAGATGTCGAAATGTGTCTGCAAAGCTTGTGGGCAGCTGTCCTGGGTCTGGAAGCCATGGATATCAGTGCGACTGACAGTTTTCTGCGCATTGGCGGCGACTCCATATCAGCCATGAGACTTGTCGCTGCTGCTCGTAAACAGGCTCTTCCCTTATCGGTTGCAGAGGTTTTTCAGCACCCAATTTTGAGCGACATGGCCCTTGCCGCTCAGATGCTGGAGATCAATCATATACCGGAGCAGATTGCGCCATTCACGCTAATGCTCAAGGCAGGTAGCACTGCTGACCATCTGAGACAGCAGATTGCTAGCCTGTTCGATGATGTCAAGGCTTCTCAAGTGGATGATGCTTTTCCCTGTACACCATTGCAGGAAGGATTGCTCGCACTTACAAGCAGGCGCAGAGTTGGCAACAATCAAGTCAATTAAGTCAAGGTGAATAGCTTAATTAATTAACAGATTTAGCAGCTTTTGCTTAACTTAATTAATAGCTTTACAGCGTAGTTACAGCGTATTAAATTAACTATAGATATTGTAGATAGTCTTAAGCTCTTTAAAAGAGATTTTGTTGTTACAGGGACTGTTTAATGCTGTTGTAGGCTTTAAGCTAAGGCGCTTTTAGCTATGTAGTAATTGTAAAGCAGATAGGAGATCTACTTTTATGCATAATTATTTTATCTCTAATAAATTACCTAATTTAGAAAAAGTCCTCTTACAGTTAGTAGCTGCAGTAGGGATACTAAGGACTGTAAGAGTAAAGCGCAATAGGATAGGGTACTTATTAGCCTTTCTAATCTAGTAGATAATTAGATTATGTGTAAATAGAAACTTCTTTAGCACAGGTAACTTAATTATCTACTGCTTAAACTAATTATAGTAAAGCAATAGGCGCGCGTTGTCACTTTATAGGGTAGCTCTTATAAAGTCTAACTAGCTTCTAGACAGCCTAGTACACGCCTTCTTTAGTAGTAGCTCTAGCGTACTAATTAGAGAGGTGGCATCTTTAAACTTTACCTATAAGTGTTAAAAGCTAATGTGGCAATTATCTAGCTAGCCTTTGTAGGGGTAAGGCCCTACGTAAAGCTCTTTATTGTAATTGTAAGGCACCTTTTACAGCTTATTTATGTAGCGTTTTGTGCGCGGGTGGAGACAGCAGGCCGCGTAATATGCTAGGGTATCCTTTAACTTGTGCAGATACTTGTAGGTCTTAATATAGGCCATATTACAAGTAGCTTTTATGTAGTCCTCTAAGGCGCTAACATTGTTAAAGTTAACATTATTATATTAATAAAGCATATTATTAAGGGTGGTAGCTGTAAGGCTAAGATGGTGCTTACGTGCGACAGGTATATATACTATTCTGTACGCAATAATTAATGTTAGTTAATTATTTGCACCTTTTTAGTTGTATTAGCGTAGTGGTACAGAGCTCTGTCCTTACAGTAGCAAGCTAGGTAAGCGTAAGTAGGACCTCCTATATTGCTCCTAACATACCAGCTACGCCCCTGCCCTCTATACAAATAGTAGCCTCTTTAAAGAGTTATAGGATCTTATAATACTCTGTAATTATTACTTAATCCTTTACACTAAGGCTATCCTCTTAGATAACGCAACGCTGCTTAAGATTAAGTAGTTACAAGCGTTAACAGGTGCCCTAGTGTTAGTACTTAACAAGCTTATAGTTAATATAGTTATTAAAAGGCATACAGAGCTTAAGCGTGCGTAAAAAATAATTATAATAAAAGTTTTATTTTATCTTTACTAGCTTAATAATCTCTAGTGTCTTTACCTTACTATTACTCTCTAATTAAGTATTATAGGCTACCTAGCATTATTTAAGAAGCTAGCAAGCTTGCAGCGTACAGATAAAGGCAATAACGTTAATTAGAACGCCTAGAGGGCCTGCCTGCTACTACTTATTAAAAAAAGCTGCCTTATAGTTTAGGTGCTACTCTATGTTATTAAACGCCTTTTAATCTTTACTAAATATAATTTATTAGGCAGTAAAATTAATTATATAGTAGGCGTAATATAGGTGTTAATAATAAGTGTTAAAGCTGTATTTAATAGCTAAGGCGTTAATAGCAGCGTTGTTATTAGTAGCATTATTAAAGACAAAGTAGCCTAAGTTACACACAGATATTTTAAAGCTTTTAAGTGTAGCATTAATAACAGCAGCAATATTAATGCCTATATGCTAGCCTATTAATAAAGGTAGGCTTAATATGTAATTGTAAGGCTTACTGTTACTATTAAGGTAGTAGACATAAATACCTATTAACGCCTGTTTACTACCTGTTAACGTCTAATTATTAAAGGAGATATAGATAGCAAAACTTAGATAAGGTTACTATTTATGCCCTCTATGTAATTAGGCAACGCTATATTAGTAGAGAGGGTGTTAGTATTAATAGAGATGGCGTTAGTAGAGTAGGCAAGATAACGCGTTAAAGTTATAATAGGTTTAGATAGGCACTAAGCTCTACTAGGTAGGCGGTAAGCTTTTATGTTGGCAGAATGGAAGACGCTAAGCTCTATTAGGTAGGCAGTAAGGTACTACCTTAGTAGCTGTAACTAGGATTTACTACTCCACGTACTAGGAGATACTGTAACCTTTAGTAATCCCCTAGTAAAACCTATAATATTGTAGCCTATTAAGTCTGTTAATTAAGTTAATTAAGTAAGCAAGATTTGCTTAATTAACTTAATAAATTTAGCTTCTGTGCTTAACAAGTCGACTTGATTGTTGCCAAGTCTGAGCAGGCGTTCCGGAGATTATGTCGCACAGTTCGTCTACATGCTTCAACCAACTGCGGATGTCCAGCAGTTCATGAAGGCTTGGGAGACTATTGTTAAAGCGGCACCCATTCTGCGCACTCGCATCATCGACGTACCGGGATACGGTCTTATGCAGACTATGATTAGTCAGCCGGCCAAATGGACCCGCCTGGGCGACACAATCACTCTTCACACCTATCGAAGAGCGGATCACGAGCTCGCCACTGGTCTAGGTACCCCATTGACACGATATACAGTGTTGCGGACACCCGAGGACGGCAGCCGGTACTTTGTATGGACCATCCATCATGCTCTTTATGATAGCTGGTCGATCTCTCTGATTCTGGAACGACTCGAAGGCTTTGTGGCTCCTCTCACCCCCCCGCCGCCCTTTCAGAGCTTTGTTAAACACATCACTGATATCGACAAGAGCGCTGCAGCAAAGTACTGGGAGCAGCAGTTCCAAGGTTTAGAAGCTCAAGTCTTTCCGCAACTACCCTCAAACACTTACCAGCCACTTTCTACGGCATCCATCAAGCGACGCCTTCATGTGCCGCACTGGCCGGACACAGGAATTACGCCGTCCAGTGTATTACGAGCAGCATGGTCTCTCTTGGCGTCAAAGTATGCCGATGGCACCGAAGTCATTTTTGGCGTCACTGTAGCTGGACGACAGGCTGCTGTGACCGATGTTGAGCGGATGATGGGACCAACCATAGCTACTGTTCCTGTGCGTATCACTCTTGACTGGTCACAGATGACTGTCGAGCAGCTGCTGCGGCAGGTTCAGGCACAATCAGTAGGGGTGATCGCATATGAGCAGATGGGCCTACAATGCATTCGACGCATAAGTCCCGAGGCTGACAGAGCATGCCAATTCCAGACCTTGCTCGTTGTACATGCTTCCGAGGAGGACGATCCGCGACATCAATGTACAAGCAGCCGCTGGTTCATCAGCAAGCGAGACGAAGATGGTTGGGATGATACTCATGTTACAGTGGCTGATACGCACGCTCTGGCGCTTGAATGCGATCTTCAGAGATACGGATTGCGATTGCGAGCCGCACATGACACCAACGTGATCGATGCCGACCGAGTCCAGCGGTTAGCAGTGCAGTTTGAGCATGTCATTCAGCAGCTGTGTGCGTCAAACAATGCCAGCAAATGTCTGTCAAGACTCAACATGTTATGTGAGCAAGACACCCATGATATATGGAGCCGGAATGCGGTCTTGCCAGAAGCTGATGACTCCTGCTTGCATGACCTTGTCACAAAGACGGCTGGCAATCAGCCTCAGGCCATGGCCATCAACGCATGGGATGGTGATTACACCTACGAAAAGTTCGAGGAATTGTCTTCGCTTCTTGCCAGGTATCTGATTAGTAGATGGGTGGATCGGAATACAATCGTGCCATTGCACTTCAGGAAGTCCAAACGGGCCCCTGTTGCGATGTTGGGTGTGATGAAGGCAGGTGGATCGGAATACAATCGTGCCATTGCACTTCAGGAAGTCCAAACGGGCCCCTGTTGCGATGTTGGGTGTGATGAAGGCAGGTGGTGCATCGGTCATGATGGACTCCCGCCAGCCACCAGAACGCATGAGGTCTGTTCTCGATCAGATCAAGCCTGCCGTGTTCATCACGTCAGCAGGCGATGAAAAGTTTGTGAGCAGCCTCAGCGGCACACCAACCATCGTGCTCAACGACAAACTAATGAGAGAGATCGCCAGCTCCGTTGTCGCTGCGGCGATCTTGCCACAGGTCCAACCATCAGATAGGCTGTATCTGATCTTCACTTCTGGCAGTACTGGTACACCAAAAGGCGCTCAGATCAGCCATTCGAATGTGTGCAGCGCCTTGCGCTACCAGAGACAGGCTCATGGCTACACGTCAGATGCGCGAGTATACGACTTTGGTTCTTACGCTTTCGATTCTGTTTGGGTCAACTTCATGAGCACATTCACCATTGGCGGCTGTCTTTGCATTCCTTCGGAACGAGAACGTAGCGACGATCTGGCTGCTTCCATCAAGCGATTCAATCCGACCATCCTCGATGTCACGCCGTCTGCCGCCACAGTTTTAGACGACAGCACTATCGCATCCCTGCGCACTTTGATTCTGGGAGGGGAGAGACTGACCTCTGAGTATGCTGAACGATGGTCTAGGCTTGTTGACATCAGACTTTCGTATGGGCCATGCGAATGCACGCCTACCGCTACTATTGCTACCATCTATCCCAATCACGAGGGCGAACCAAATATTGGTCACGGAACTGGTTGCCTGACCTGGATCACAGATACTGAAGAGGGCAAAACCCTCGTCCCAATCGGTACGATAGGGGAGTTGGTGCTGGAAGGACCTCTCGTTGGGCTCGGATACCTTGGTGATGAAGCAAAGACAGCAGCAGCCTTTATCAAGAGACCACCCTGGCTTAGTGCGGTTAGGCAAGATCGTAGGGGTCCTTTCTATAGGACTGGGGATCTTGTGAAATATAATCTCGACGGCACTCTCATGTTCATTGGCCGAAAGGACGCCCAAATCAAGATTCATGGTCAACGAGTCGAGCTTGCAGAGATTGAGGGCTATATGGCTCGTCATATACGCACACGCCAGTCAGCAGCTCTGTATCCTCAGACCTATCCCTTTGCGAAGAAGCTAGTGGGGGTGTTCGACATCCATGGTCGCCAAACAAGCAAAACTACAGCTTTATCGAATTGATCGATGCAGATACTGATCCCAGTGTTGTACAGCACATTCACGACCTCGAAGCCCTACTGAGAGAGTATTTGCCGCCATATATGGTCCCTTCTACCTGGGTACCACTCAAAGATCTGCCTCTCAACGCTTCAGGAAAGCTTAATCGACATCTCTTAGAAGACTGGTTGTGCCATTTAGACTGGCACACTATTGCCAAGATCGACACCATGAGTCACCCGCCCACGACTGTCGAGCCTCAGACACATAAACAACATATCCTACGCAACGCCTGTGGTGACATCCTGAACTCAACGCCAGCCAAGATTGATATACAGCGCTCGTTTGTTGCGAATGGCGGTGATTCGATATCAGCAATGCGTCTGTCGTCTTACTGTCGTACTTTAGGCTTGACACTCTCAGTCTCTAGCCTGCTGAAGGGCAAGTCCCTAATTATTGTGGCAGACCCCGCCTCGATGGATGCCCCAACACCTGTCTTGACCCATGTCGAGGTCCTTGATAAGGCTTTCAGTCTATCGCCAATTCAGAGGTGGTTCTTTGATCAAGCGCCACTGGAGGAACATCTCAATGAAAGACACCACTACAACCAAGGCTTCTACGTCAAGATGAGTCGCTTCGTGTCTCCTCAGAGACTGTCTGTCGCTATGCACAAGATTGTTCAACACCATTCCATGCTTCGTGTGCGGTTCACGACCTCTAGGGGCGGCTGGACGCAAAGCGCTCCTAGGGTGGAAGACGCTGTCTATAACTTCAGCTCTGTGGATGCTCAGAGCTTATCTGAGATCACTTCAAATGCTATCGAGCTCCATCGAAGCCTGAACTTTGAGCACGGCCCAGTCTTGGCCACAGCACTCTATCACCTGACACCTGAAAACGTTCAGTATCTCATATTGGTTGCCCATCATTTGGTGGTTGATCTGGTCTCATGGCGGATCATAATGGACGATCTTGAAGCCTTGTTGTCAGACAAGGAGCTTATTCACAGCACACCATTCCAGGTTTGGACGCAACTGCAAGCCGAAGAAGTACGTGATAATCTTGATTTCTGGAACTTCAACGAGCGGACTTCTAATACTACTCACGACCACATTATGAAGACCTTCGAGGCGGATCTTGCCACGACATCATTGCTACTCAAGGATTCTAACATTGCATTCAATTCTGAACCTGTTGATATCATCCTAGCTGCAGTATGGGATGCTTTTTTCCGCTCATTTCCTGAACGGACAGGGCTGACCATCTTCAACGAGGGTCACGGCCGTGAACCACTAACGGACACAGCTATCGATCTATCTCGGACTGTTGGCTGGTTCACATCGCTCAGTCCTCTACACGTGGATCGAAGCGTAGACGATAGCGCTGTGCACACAGTGAGACTAGTCAAAGATGCTCGAAGACGTCTCCCAACCAATGGGCTGGCATACTGGGTCTCAAGGTTCCTGAACCCGGATGGTATCAAAGCCTTTGAGTCGCACAGCTCTCCCATGGAAGTCCAATTCAACTATCTCGGGCAGTTTCAACAGCTCGAGCGAGCAGACTCACTCTTCACTGCCATAAATCTCGATGCCGCTGTGCCTGCAACAAGTCCGCACATGCCAACCTCTGTCCTCTTTGACATCAATGTCATCATTGAGGCTGGAGTCGCCAAGTTTTGTTTTGCTTGGAATCGACACATCGACCACCAAGATTCGATTCTAGCCTGGATCGCACAGATCGTACCATCACTGCAATCGCTTTGCTACGAACTGCGCGGCAGACCGACATCACGCACTTTGTGTGATTTCAAGTTTCTGAGCCTGGATTACAGTGGACTCGACGAATTGCAGAACAAAATTCTACCGCACCTTGAGCTACTCAATGATTCTCACATTTAGGACGTTCTACCATGCCCTCCGATGGTCGATGGCATCCTGCTAAGTCAAACAAAAGGCACAGGGTCGTACGAGACTTCTCAGACCTGGCAGATCGTGCCACGCGGATCATATCACATCGAGACCAGTAGGCTCGTCGATGCTTGGCAAGCATTGATCACGTCATTCGGCATTGCGAACCGTTTTCATTGAAAGCATGGATGCCACTCGCAGTGCCTTTGATTCCGCAGTTCTTTGTTCGCACCGTGGCAACATCCTCCTTGTCGAAAGTGAGAGCTATGAAGGAGCGCTCGACACAGTGAAGCATCTGCCGAGGGTCGACTATACTCAACCTCGACCTCCACACCGAATCACACTCTGTAGTATCTCTGGTCAGCCACATATCCTGTGCCAGATTGAGATCAGTCACGCCATATGTGATGGCGCCTCGACTGCTATCACTATAAAGGACTGGGTGAAAGCATATTCAGGGGAGCTCGATGTCCGGGAACTTCAAGATGTTACTCGGGATTTCACATTGGATTTGGCAGCCCATTCAAGGGTCGAGAGCACGGCGTACTGGAAGGATAAGTTGTCCGGTATGGAGCCTTGCATATTCCCTCATCTTAGGGCCCATACACCAGCTATAAGTTCTCAGCCAAATGGTGTCACATCTCTTGAGATTAGATCGGAAACCCTCAAGCTTGTTGAGCGATTCTGCAAATTGCAGGCCGTCACGCTCGCTAGTTTCTTTCAAAGCGCATGGACTTTTGTATCAGCTTATGTCGCGTCTAACAGAATCTGTTTCGGATATCTGGCCTCTGGACGTCAACTGCCTGTCAAAGGCATCGATCAGTCCATCGGTGCCTACGCAAATGTGATGATATGTCGTGCTGATCTTAGCCGACAGCATGATGAGAAGGGCTTCGTGCACTATATCTATGAGCAAGTCTTGGAAGACATGGGCTTTCAGCACTGCTCCGTAGCCGAGATCCAGCACGAGCTTGGCCTGCCGTCACTATTCAATACCATCATGTCTTTTCAGAAAGAAGAAGATTGCGTGGGCGAGCAAGATCCAGAGCACCAGGAGCTGAATTTCATCGAGGTTGATTGGCGTGATCCAACCGAATACGACATCACTATCAACATTAATCAGTCAAAGATAGCTGTCCGTGTGACTGCAGAATATCGTCTAGCCTGTATAGACTCCGAGCAAGCACGTCGAGTTATCTCACTCTTAGAGTCGACTATCATCTCGCTGGTCACCGAAACTGTTGGACCTTCGACAGCCACACACAGGACACTACCGGAACTTACTGCAACACAATCTGCGAGTGTGGATGATCTGCGAGATGTCTGGAATTGGAACAAGATAGTCCCGGAAACTGTCGACAAGTTAGTACATCATACCATTGCTGATGTAGCCAGACGAATCCCGAGAGCACCTGCCATATGCGCATGGGATGGCGAGTTCACTTATAGGGAGCTTGAAGCTGCTGCTAACAAACTTGCTCAGCATCTGGTCAGCCTTGGTGTGGGACCCAAGGTCATTGTCCCCCTTTGTTTTGAGAAGTCGAAATGGATGTCAGTATCAATGTTTGCGGTCATGAAGGCAGGCGCAGCGTCATTAGCAATAGACTGCACTCTTCCTAGAGAGCGTCTGCGCAGTATCATGCAACAGGTGCACCCTCTTGTGGTATTGGTATCTATTGCGCAGACTGAACTGGCCAAGCAGCTCACGGACAGGCCAATGGTAGTCATAAGCGATGCGCATCTGAACCAGCTAGCATAGCCGGCAGTCGAGATGCCGGAGGTGAAACCCTTGGATCAGCTGTATATCGTGTTCACATCCGGCAGTACTGGAGTGCCTAAAGGTGTCGCTACCACACACTCTAATTTCAGCAGTGCTATTCAGCATCAGCAGACTTCTATGGGGTTCAAGAGCACTTCGTGGGTGTACAACTTCGTCAAGTATGCCTTTGATGTCACATGGTCGAACTTCTTACACACTATGACCAGTGGTGGATGCCTGTGCATCCCATCTGAAACAGAAGCGATCGACAATCTGGCTGACTCCTTCTTGAAGTACAGGGCTAATTTTATCGATCTGACACCTTCTGTCGCAAGCACTATACGACCGGCTGACCTCCCTGCCTTAAACCACTTATTGTTTAGCGGTGAGGTCCTGCCTACCCATATCGGCGCTCAGTGGGCTGAACGAGCAATTGTTCTCAATACATATGGTCCTGCTGAGTGCAGTGTTAAAGCAACCTTCGCGAGAATCAGCGAGACTGAAGCACAAGTTGCCAACATCGGCCGCGGATTCGGACTGTGCACTTGGATCGTGCAGCCTATCAACCACCCCAAGCTTGTACCAGTAGGTGTTGTTGGAGAGCTTCTGCTAGAAGGCCCGCTTATCGGCACCGGCTACCTTGGAGATGTGTCGAGAATGCAGACAGCTTTCCTCGAAAATCCTCCTTGGCTCGTCCGCGGATTGCCGCATGACGCCTCGTCAGGCGCTCCAAGTCACCCTGGTCGTTATGGTCGATTGTATAAGACTGGAGACCTCGTGAGATATGAGTCAGTTGGGACCATGACCTTCGTTGGCCGCAATAATGCTCAAGTCAAGATCAATGGACAAAGAGTAGAGCTCGGCGACGTCGAGTATCATGTTCGAAACAACATCGCCATTGCTGATATGCAAGTCCAGGTGTTCGCTGAAATACTCACGCCATCCCAAGCTATACATCGATCCTCATGGTTTTCGTTCATGTGGTCAATGAGCAACGCGCTGACGACAGTGCAATCGATCGCACTGGACAGAGCGCCATGATCCTCACAGGTCTGAATGAGAGGCTAGCGGCGCACGTTCCGGCTCACATGATTCCATCTGCCTACCTGGTGCTGAAGGAGTTGCCTATGACGACTACTGGGAAAGCTGATCGTCGCCGGCTCCGCGAAATTGGTGAGAAGCTGACATTCGAGCAGATTATGGCGCTCAGTTCTGGCAGTGACGGAGGCCAACAGCCTTGTACAGCTACAGAGCGGCAATTGCGAAACCTCTGGGCTCAAGTGCTTAGTATCAAGACATCAGACACTATCAAAGTAGATCACAACTTCTTCCAAATTGGGGGGGATTCAATCAGAGCCATGAAACTAGTGGGCCTGGCTCGTAAGGTAGGGCTTCATTTATCGGTCTCGAGTATCTTCAAGCAGCCCATACTCAAGGACATGGCAAGATCAACAGGTCAAGTCTCCGGTCTCGATGAGGACGACATCCCGCCATTCTCATTACTAATTACCAGGAAGGATGCTCGAAAGCTACTGGAACAAGCTGCAGAACTGGGTCAAGTTGACATTGCTCGAATAGAAGACATCTTTCCGTGCACTCCACTGCAAGAAGGGCTTCTAGCGCTCACAGCAAAAAGAGCTGGTGACTATACTGCTCAATACATTATCCCTCTGCAACGCTCAGTCGATCTTGTACGATTTAAACGGGCATGGGAGGAGGTGCTGAGAACGACACCAACTCTGCGCTCCCGGATCGTGGATCTTGCGTATCAAGGACTTGTGCAGGTCATTCTTGATCACAATGTTCAATGGTCTCATTACTTCAGTGTCAGCGAGTATCGAGAAGTTGACGAAAAGGCAGAAATTGGTTTGGGCAAGCAGCTTGTACGATATGCTACCATCTCCGAGAACAACCAGAGTCGAACACATTGCTTCGCATGGACAATTCATCACGCACTCTACGATGGATCGTCCATGAGGCTCATTATGGGCAGGCTAAACCAGGCTTACCAGGATACTTTTGCTCTGCAGCCTGCTCCTCCATTCAGCCGCTTTGTCAGACACATTCTCAACATCGAGGAAGGAGATGCCAACAGCTTCTGGCAAGCACAATTTGCTGGACTAGAAGCGCAGGTGTTTCCAAAATTACCTTCAGCAATGTATCAGCCAAGGGCGGAGTCATATGTCATTCATTATATCAAAAACGTCACCTGGCCTCGATCGAGCATCACTGCTGCTACAGCAATCCGCTCCTCGTGGTCGATACTCACAGTCCGCCTCACGAATTCGAGTGACGTGATATTCGGTGTAACGATGAATGGTCGCCAGGCTGCAGTCTATCAGATCGATGAGATGACAGGTCCCACACTCACAACTCTGCCTGTACGAACGATCTTCGACTGGGAGCAGTCTGTAGAAGCATATCTGGATCAAGTCCAAAGAGAGATGACAGAAATGATCCCGTACGAACAAACAGGTTTGCAGAACACTTCACGAATCAACAACGAATGCAGGCAGGCTTGCAACTTCCAATCATTACTACTGATCCACCCTTTTGAGGAGACCAAGGATCTAGCGAGTTTGCTATTCGTTGCTCACAATAACGACGATCCAGAAGAGGTTGCCTCTAGAGACTTCGCAACTTACGCCCTGACGCTAGAATGCGAATTGGAGGAGCACGGTCTGAAGCTCAAATTCGAATATGATGACGGAGTCATCGGCAGTATCCGTGTTTCGAACTTGGCAGACCAGTTCGAGCACATTTTGCGCCAATTGTGCGACTCATCAAACAGCACGAAACGAATCGCCGAGATTGAGGCGGTCAGCAAGACGGAGCTCGATATCATCTGGACTTGGAACGCAAAGGTACCGACGACGATCGAGGCTCGAGTCCACAATCTCATAGCTGATGCATGTCTGAAACAACCTCATGCTACAGCAATCCACGCTTGGGACGGTATCTAGACGTATGCGGAAGTGCACGATATGTCAACTCGCCTAGCACATCATCTAGTGAGTCATTGATGAATGGTTCATCTCAGAATGCCAGAGTATTACGTCCAGAAAATACAAATTACTGATACTCTTATGCTTCTAGGTACATCTCGGAGTCGGCTGTGAGACAGTCGTTCCTCTTTGCTTCGAGAAGTCGAAGTGGACGCCTATTGCGATGCTAGCTGTGATGAAAGCAGGTGGCACTTGTGTGACACTAGATCCCGCCCTACCTCAAGATCGACTGTTCAAAATCGTCCACCAAATCAAGCCATCGATCATTCTGTCTTCATCAACCAACAGGAACCTTTCTAGTCGATTATGCGAGTGGAAGCCTGTCATCGTTGTCAACGACAAACTCCAAGCGCTATTTGATAAGCAGACTTCAAAACTTCCTAGGATACAGCATGCTTTGGCCTCTCTTTTCGAGCAATTCGATATGCTAAGGATGGTCGTCATCCCGTACAAGAACATGTTCCTGCAAATCGTCCTCAGACATGTTAGCAGCGGCAGTACAGTTTTCGAGATTGCAGCGGATAGTCTCGATGAGTACACTTTGCATCTGAAGAATCGGGACCTGCTGTCCGATCTGCATTTCGGGGATGTTGTCACAAAGATCTTCATTGTTCGCCAGACCAGAGACCAGAGATATCGAATCGTGGTTCGACTGTCACATGCTCAGTATGATGGGATAGCGCTCGAAAAGATGTGGACAGCATTCGAAGACAGCTACAATTCATCAGTGTGTGTCAACGGTGCAATACCAGCGTTCCCAACTGTACGTAATACGTTTTAACTCGCTGTTTTTTAGGCTGTAACTTCTTAGTTTGTTAGTACGTTTTAACATAAAGGGAGAATTTAAATCTACTTACAGGGCGTAACTGTTATAGCTTATAATCCTCCTACATTTTAACAGCTTACAAGACGTTACAGCGTATACAGTCTACTAAGTCCCCTATTTTACTGTAAATATAACCCTGCTAGAGCTAGTTTTTCTGCAGTTAAAAAGCTTTAATTATTAAGCTAAAAAGCTTATTTTTATTATAAGTAACAGTCCTCTTACTTCTAAAAAAAAACCTCTTATAATTGCAGCTTATAAAAAGGATAGATAAGAAGTTAAAAGTAATTTTATATAGTGTAAAGTAAAAGAGTTGTCTAACTTATTCTTACTAAGTAAAAAGGTTAGTAAATAAAGAGCTATTATTATTAGCTATAGTAACATCTTTACAGTAGCTATTATAGTACTGCTATAACTCTATTATTTTTTACTACTTTTTATATAAGCAGCTGCTAGTAAAGAGGCTTACGTTAATAAAAAAAGTCCTTTTAAAGCTCTTATTATAATAGTTACTACTAGGTAACTTATGTTGCGTAGGCTTTTAAGTAATATTATTATTATTAGCTTTAGCCTTAGCCTTTACATTAATATACTTTTAAAAAATAGCTTTTATTAAAGCCTTAGCTTTTTTATGCTATGTAAGGTGCTTTCTTTAGTAGTCTTTAAACTAAATAAGATAAAGTTAAGAGTTTAAAATTATTACTATATAGTAATAAAATATAGGTAGCTTAATAATAAACTTTTTTTAGTATATAAGTAACTTCTTTATGCTAAATGCTATGCTAGATTTAAAGTAGTAATTATTACTCTTACCCTTAAGTTTATTGCCTATATATAGAAGCTTAGTATAAAGGTGTTGTAAGTTAATAATAGATATCTAGAAAGAGCTATAAAAGCTGTTACTCTTAAAGCGTTTTATTATAAAGTAAAAGACTTTAAAAAACTTATAAAAGTAATTAACTTTCTTTTATTTATTTTTAGTAATAACCTTAGTAAAAGCAGAGTTACTAGAAATAGTAAAGTTTATAAAGTTATTATTAGTGCTTCTTTACTTATATATAAACTTAGTAATAGTGTTCTTAAGCTTAAAACAGCAAAGAAGCATAAGATAAATGCTGTGCTAGTGTACACTACTATCTTATATAAAATTAAGCATTCTAAAGCTCTAAAAAGGGTTATTATTATTAAAAGCAGCCTAAAAAGTTATAAAGGCCTTTTATTATTTATATAATGCTAGCACTATATTTATAAAATTATAAAGTTTTTTAATAACTTTATAGCAGCAATAAAGGTTAAATTATTTCTAAAAAGCTGCTTAGGCAAGCTCTGCTTTAAAAGCGCTTATTTTTTTACTATAAATAACTACTTTTACTACTAGCTAGATTATATAGCCAGCGCAGCGTATACAGTACTTAGAGGTAAGGGGCATATTAAGATGTTAGGTAAGAGCAGAGATAGTCTTATTATTATTATTTAACACATTATTAGCTACTAAATAATAAAATTTTAACATAATTTTAAAGTTATTAACAACTTTAATAATCTCTAGCGCTTAATTTACTTTAGTATAGTTGCTATACAGGTTGCAAAAGCTAATTAAGATGTTATAGTGTTAGTAGTTAACATCTACACAGTATTATTAGTTAGTGTTTAGTTTAATAAAAGATGCTAAGACGCTAAACTAATAAGCTAAAGTACACTTACTAATAAAGTGTAACACTACACTTAAGAAGAAAAAGTAGTTTAGAGAAGTCTATATATTAATGCTTAATATAATTTTACTTTAGGCTATTCTTAGCATTATTTAAATCTTCTGCTTCTGCTATGTATATCCCTACTGCATGTAGGACAAATATGTAGTATTAGACGCTAAAAAGGCAGCAAGAAGATTAGCTTTATTCTAAGTAATAATACTCTAAAGTTTTACTAATAATGCTGTATAAAAAAAAATATTATAAAGTATTACCTAGTTAATAACTACTACTTGTAAAGCTTTCTTTTACTAAATACTATAAAAGATAATATATAACAAGCTTATAACCTTATAAGCTACTTTAAATAAACTTAAAAAAATTCTTAGCCTATTAAGTAAAAGAGTGCTTTTACTTTCTCTACTAATATCTATCTAGTGCTTCTTTCTAAGGTAGTAGATAATATAAGTGTAACTATTAACTTTTTTTACCTCTCTATAATTACCTTTAGTGTAGCACTTTCTACAAAGCTATAACTTTATCCTAGAGGTGTCTCTCTTATTATTATACACTAAATTAGCTTTATAAAGCTATATCTAGAATAACTAATAATTACTATATAATTAGCTTTTATGCTTTACTTAGTATCTAAGCTTTTCTAGCCTTAACTTTCTATTTCTTATCTAGATGTTGTCCTACTTAATAGTAAATAATACCTTATTATTAAAAGCAGGGTTGTCTAGGTACTTCTTTATAAGGGCTAAGAGACTATTAAATAGCGTGCTATTACAAAAAAAAACTAAGAACTCTAATAATAAGAACCTTAATTAGGCAAGTTAACAAGAACTAGCGTAATAAGTAACCCTAGTTTAGTAGAAAAAGCTAGCTTAAAAGGATCCTTAGGATAAGGCTGTACGCCTACTACACTAAAGGAACTAGGATATCTAGCTTATAATAAGTAAGTTTATAGGTAATTATAATTCTTAACTAAAATTATAGGATCTTACACCTTAATCTCCTCCTCTACTAGCTCCTTAATTGTTGTACAAACTACAGAGTTTTTACTTAATTATTACTCTAAAAACATAACTTTAAACACCCTTCTAACGCGTCCCTATAGCTGTCTAATAAGACCTTATATTACTAGGAAATATTGTCTCTCTAAGACGTATTACGGTCCGTAATGGGAGCTGGCTCCTACGTACGTTACGGCTCACACTCCTCCTACGTTTCAACGGCTCACGTGACTGCTACGTTCACGTATCTACGAGTCGTAGTACGTACGGTTGGGAACGCTGTGCAATACCTTCATTTGCGCACCACCTATACAGTCTATCACTCCTCGACAGAGAGAAGATGTCACAGTATTGGAGCAAGCTGCTCAAGGGCAGCAGCCGAAGAGAGCTCAAGCATCACACTACCTTTCAACTCGGATATGGTACCGGCCCGGAAGTGGTCAAGACACTGCCGACCGCCATGATCAACTCGGAGGACTTCACTTTCGCCAACGTGCTCAAAGCAGCCTGGGCATACGTCCTCGCCAGGCACTTGGCGACTAATGATATTGTCTTTGGCAGTCTCGTCCATGGTCGCAGCCAAGCAGGCAGCCAAGACGTCTTTGGTGCATGCATCAATATCATACCGTATCGCATCATCTTTGAGCAGAATTGGACAGCAAGAGATCTCCTCACAGCTGTAGCTGCTCAACAGCTAGCCAGCACGCCCTTCAAGAGCATGGGCGGTCAGAGCATCATTCGCAATTGCACTAACTGGATCAAGTGGTCGTTCTTCAGCTCCGTGATCATCCATCAGAACTTCGAACATCGCAGTCTGCGAGGAAGGACTGTGGACTTCGATAGTGCCGACTTATCTACAGGTGATGTTGACGATGTTCAGGTATATGTCATCTCTACGCCGGGAGAAGATGGTATGGAGATCCTCCTCAGTTTCAAGGATCAAGTCGTTCCGCAGGCACTAGCGGAGAGAATGGCATCAGATCTAAGCGAGAGCATCACTAGGTTATACACAAAGATGGGTGCCAAGCTCATGGCGCCCATGGCGCCGAGGGAGACCTATGATATGTTGGCCTTGCTGCCACTGCCAGAGGAGAAGCGCAGCAGTGTGTCGCCTACCAGTGAGCAATTGACAACTCTGGCAAAATGCTCGGCAGATTTGAGAACCGCTCTCGGCGCGGCGTGGTGCGATGTTTTGTCTACACAAGAAATACCCTGCGACAACTCCACAGAGTCTCTGTTCGACCTCGGAGGTGATGCGAGCAGTGCTGGTCAGCTTGCCGCTCATTTGCAGAGGCGTAGCTATCGTGTCAGAATTGAAGAAGTTGTTGAGCATCCATCTTGGTTTGAATTGCTGCTTTGCTTGAGCCAGCCGCAGAGAGGAGTCAAGGCAAACGAATAGAGAGGATATAGGCACAGGAACAAGGAAGATATCACGAGGGTACCAGGATGACAGCATTAAAGCAGGCAAGCTCTATGGGAGATTTTGTGTATCACGGCCATGTTCAATTGAGTGTTGTATAATACATGCCTACCTTGAACCCAATGAATCTCGCCGTTTAAATACTTGAAGAGCAAAGAAGAGTTATGTGCCACTTGAGTGGCCACAAAAAGTTGTCGAGGGCTCTTCAGAGCTAGCCGTAGGTATGACTTATCGACTGGTTCACCGATAGTACGCGAGAAAGCCTCGTTATGACGGACCGTGCAACGTCTTACTTATGCTCAAAGACAATGTGGCAGAACGAAGTTATTTCTCTCCAGCGCCCATACATGGTCCTAGCTCCATCAGTCTGAATCTGCGGTAGCGTGTTCGGTCACCGTCGAGGCTACCAGAATATGAATCTCCATGCAGTCATGCGAACATTCGCCTGGCTATAAGCACTCCACAAGTATGAACGCTTCTCTTATAGCACCCTGGGTGCATCATCACCCGGGCGTTCTTTCACGGGTAGATATCGTGCAGCACCGACGCATGCCGAATCATTCCTGTATTGTGCGCTGGATTACACCTAGCGGGGGTGAAGGGTATTGGACACGAAGGAAGAGCTGATGCAGAGCTGATGCGGCGGCGAGACGTGTTATAGACAATGGGAGTCGGCTAGTTTAGCTATGTCCGCATCTGATATAACGTCAGCAATGAATGCGTTGAAATGTTCAAACGCCAGGATAGAATGACAACACATATCAGAAGTTGCGTATTTGTAATTGCTAATCAACCACCCATTGAAGAGTGTCATAAGCCGCGATAATTTCTCTTTGGAAAATTCATCATAATAGTTGTGCAGGAGTTGAGGTATGAGGTAGCGGGGAGGACTGTACCTTTGGAGTGATGAGAGGCTCAGGAGCATGCCTCAGTATTTGAGGCACGCGATGGTGTCGCATCATGCCAGACGCGAATTTGAAGAATGATGAAGGTTGGAAAAAAATTCTCCTTAGCGCATAATCCACGTGACGAGCTGACAAATCGCCGCCAGCCTAAAAACGGAACTGAGCAGCTGCGGGGTTGAGCCGAGAAAGACTCCTTTGAGCTGCGGCTGTGCAGCCTGAGCAGAGGCTGAGCGGAAGTTGAGCCGGGTAACAAAGCGCTTAGTAAAGCAGTAAAAACGACTAGCTAGTTAACCAAAGAGGGTGCTAAGGCTCGGTCAAGGTTGGTGTGTGAGTAACTACCATAAGAACAATCTTATAATCGCCCACTGGCGCACCAATCCCGTGTAGACTAGTAAACAGCGCTAGCGGGGGAGCGAACTTATCAAGGCGAAGCTGTGAACAATCAGGGCCGGGAGTAAGGTGCGCAATAATTTCTAGATTATGCTTCTATAAGAGTTAAACAGATTTAAAGAATCCTGCTCCCTATCTAACTAAGACGCTAGAGCAAAGAGGTAGCTTTAAAAGATAAACTAGACGCTTAATAATATAATCTAAAGGTTAATATACTAAGTACTCTACTCTAACTTATAAAAATTAACTGTTTAAGAGGCTCTTTTAGCTAATTGCTTATAGGTTAAGCACTTAAGTAGCAAGAGTAAGAGTATTATACAGTATGCACAGCGTATAGGTAGTTAAGATAGGCAATAACATTAGGTTCTTGCTTGTCTCATCCTTGTACAGATGGAAAGGAGAATAAATATTTACATGTTCGCGCACGAGCACCACGTGATCCTCTCTCGCACGATAGCTTGTATCCTAACTGTAATGCTGCTGTCTACAGACATTAACTAATCTAAAGAAATTAAATATTACAAAGTAACGTAGTAGATTACTAAGCTAGCTACTTTTTCTAACTCTTTTATTAACATAAGATAGCTTAACAACGTAATGTAAAACTAACTTAATAAGAAAGTAAAATAGATTTTACTTAATAAGTATATAATTCTAGCTAATTTAAAAGCTTATAACGCACTATCGAAGCTTTTAATGTTTAACTTTAAAGTAATCTTAATTAATAAAATTTTATTTTATTTTAATAAGAAAGATAACTAAGCTATAAAAAGCTTACTATAGCTAAAAAGTAAATAATTATTTAATATATTTTTAACTTTAATTTATAAGGATTCTTTTTTTAGCTAAGTAAAGTAGTAAATATAATAAATAAACTACTAACTATGTATAGAAAAAGGCTAATAAATAGAAAATTAGCTTTCGAATTTAATATATATATATATCTCTCTATATATATACTTAAAATAGCGATTAATTAAGTAAAAAACTACATTATTTAAGAATATAGCTGAAAAATTTAAACTTATTAGCATATAGTTTATAATAGTGTAAAACATAATAATTAAGTATAGTGTTTAAAATAATAATAATATATAACATTAATAAAACTAACTTGTAGAGAAGTATAATTTAGTTTATAAAAGCTATTATAACATTAAAAAGATATTAAAGGCTTAATCTTATATAGCTAAGTAATTAAAAGTACGTTACTGTTATTTAAAGCATTTATACTATAAAGTTAATAATTTTACTTTTTAAAAAAGCTGTTTACTAGCCTTAAAAAGCTTATTTTTAATATATTTATATATAACAACTATTAAAAAGCTTTTAAAACCTTAGAGGTAGTTGTTTTTTAATATACGCAGTGCTTAAACGCTTTAAAATACAACTATACACTATATAAAAACTCTCTATACTATAAACTCTTTAAGTAATACTTTTAAATTTACAACCTAATTAAAGCTTATTAAGAAAGCTAATTAATACTATACTAAAATATACTTACAAGCTCTTATATTTCTACGCTTAAAAAGTAAGCAAAAATACTAGCTAAGTAAAAATTATATAAACAAAAGCAAATTTAGTATAAAGTATAGTAAAGACTAGTATAAATAGCTGCTAAGGCTACTAAAGCTACTAAAGCGCTTTAGAGATTAAAGAGAGCTAATTATATAAATAGTTAAAAAATATGTAGCTAAGTGTGTAAGACGATAGAAACTATAAACTAGGTATAATATATACTAGCTTTTTATTTAATAGTAATTAATCTATCAGGTTAAGATAGTCCTTACGCGCGACAGGTATATATAATTCTGTACACAGAACCAACCGTTGGTTGATTATTATATAAGAAAGGAGCTCTATACCACTACGCTAATACAACTTAAAAGATGCGAATAATCAAGCAACAGTTGATTCTGCGTACAGAATAGTATATATACCTGTCGCGCGTAAGGACCATCTCGGCCTTACATAATCTAGTGTTCTACAACATAAGTTAGTCATGCTAAGAAAAAGTAGCTAGCTTAGTAATCTACTGCGTTACGTGTTATAAAGTAAAATATAATTTAAGTACTAAAATTTAGTTAGAGTAGACTATTTGCTTGTGTAGACTGCTTGCTTGTAAAATAAGTTGTACTAAAGATATTTTCACATACAATTATCTGCGTATATATATCCTTCTGCTGTGCTAGCTAGAAGGTCGATCTTTTGGCAATGCAACAGTTATACGAATAGTATTATAGCCAGCTGTAGTAAAAAGAACGTTAAGGCAGAAACTAGGAAGGCTACGTAGCATGTTAGCTAGTTAGAGAGCAAGTTTTTAATTAGTAGACAGAGATAAGATAGAGGAGGTAGGTAAGGCGTAGAAAGGGCGTCGACTGCTTAGCAGAGGCGCTAGGGTTTAGGTTAGAGCATTAAGGGAAAGAGATAAGGAGGAAGCCTAGCGACATGAGGACAAGCATTTTATAGACGTTAAAAGCGGCGGGTTGATGGAGGGAGGAACGATGCCCGATGGGGTAAACGCAAGGACTGCACTAAACCCGAAGAGGAAGCCCCCGGACAGAGATTACGGGCGTTTGAATCTCGCCTGATGGGCTTGAGTGAATCTACTTTAATACAGACCTTGACAAGGTGTTGGTTGATGCTCTCTCAGTTGACACGATGAGATGAGACAAAACAGTCTTCTTGTCCGAATTCAGACTATTGTTTAGCATGCTCTGTGGAGGTTATTTGCACCGCACGTTGAGAAATTCACTCGAGTTCGCCTTTGATGCGAAGCGGGGACTCAGGACTGGTATCAGCAGCAAGAATTGTGGAGATAACGTTCCTATCCTGTTAACAACAGATGGAATGCTTGCCCGGTCTCCAATGCCTTTTCGCTTCAACTCATGGGTAACAAATAGAGCCGAAGGACTTAATAAACTCCACACTCATGGGTTGATCCTCTGCCACTTCCCATTTACTCTCTCGGTTACCGGAGAAGGCATTTCCAACATTGCGACGGATGGTGGCCACCCGTAATCCGGTGGTTGGTTGTTGACCAGACTAACCGTGACTTTGGGAATGCTATACGGAATTCCCGGCTGCGAATTAGCAAGGCTGTCGGTCCAGTAACATGACTTGTAGTTGCTCTGGTCTGTGCAGTGCGAGTAGGGGTCAATGCTCCAGTCAAATGAACCGGAGCCCTCAAAGAAAAGGCTTCACGAGGTTAGTGTGCATAAATAATCGGTCAGGAGATGGTAAGCCGCGTACGGGTTTGTCCCATTCTTGTCCCTACACTCCCAGACTTTCACCTGATTTATGGTCTTTGTGTGTGGGTTGAACTGATAAGTACAGAGCCAGTGTTGTTCTTTCGGTTTTCCATCGTAGTAGACAGTGCATGAGTGCCTAAATATCGTTAGCGCGTGCAACAGATGTTAACTCCGGCCTGACATTTCACATACACAGCGTCAACGCCCGACCCGGAAATTATTTTATACTCATAGAAGAAGAAGTCTGCGAAGCCTGGGCCAGTGAGTCCAGCAGTGAATCGTTGGAGGGTAACATTGTTTTTGTTTTCGGCTGGGAAAGAAGTCTCGAAGTACATGCCCCGGTAGTAAAATGTCGGATTCGCGACACTATCGAAAGTGCAGCCGCCGTGCACAGGATAGGCCGTAACGAGGGAGAAGGGAGGAAGTGTTTGTCTGGCGACTTGGATTCCATCTATAGCATGGGACCCCACTGAATCCGTGCAGAGAGTCACAATGTCATTCGCCGTCCCAGTAATGCCCGTATGTGTTTCGCAGTTAAGTGTAAAAGACGCGTTCCCCGATGCAACAAGTACTGATCTGTATGATAATATTATGAGTCATGAGCGTAGCACAGATGGTGATGTTACCATGGACTTACGGGCTGTCATTGGTGTCCGGATTCTCAAGACAGTACCATAGTTCTTCAACCTTCAGACCAAAATCAGGTGCTACACCGGTCCATGTAACGTCCAGGGTGATCTCATTGAACTTTCCGCCTGCGCAACGCAATGTACTTGGCGGATACGGGTCGTAATAACCGGGCTCGAAAATACAAGCTACCGTATGGCTGATGGCATTATTTGTGATATTGAGTTTGAGATGCACTCCTTTGGCTATGAAGGTGCCTCCATTGTTGTCGAGACAATATTGATCTTCGCCATACCATTGCTTGCATTGGCCCTTGGTATAGTTCTGAAATGAAACTAGCCGAAAGTTAGCCAGCTTCCCTGTCATCCATGGAATATTCGCGTACTTCCTGATACAGTCCATTGACTTTTGCCAATGCTAGCGCATGCTGGAGCCCCGTATCCTGTCGGAGGTGATGGCTGGGTTGGCGTAAGTGGTACCGGAAGACTAAGGGTGCCATAGACGAGATACGTGATAGGAGACACACAGTCACTGCCTGAACATTGAGTGATGACAGTGGTTCCATTAGCTATAAAAATAATCCTGATTGTTTGGTTAGCCCAAGTGTCGCGTTTATGGACATTGGTGAAGAGCGGCAGCTTCCCGTACTTATCACCCGTTTCCCCACACTGCCATAATTGGCTCACGCCAACGATGCGCCGTCCATCTGAACCCGTAGAGATAGTAGCACGAAGCTCGTCAATTCCATATCCGCTACATTTGTTGTCGGCCGTACACTCTATGTGTCCAATGTCCGTAGCGACTTCTGCCGCACGGTTTGCGATTTGGAAGGTTGTCGTTCCGCCCGAAACCTTGTATTTTGTAATGATCCAACTTGGTATTGTTAGCGACTTGTCTGTACAACGACCTGAAGTGGGCCAGGTAGGCACTGCGGGAATTTCGATGGCGAGCGAAACTGCTGCCAAGAACAGGGTCGAAAGCAACGTAGATCTCCACATCTTAAGGTTAAAAAACAAACGAAGTAGTGGGCAAGAAAAGATTTGCGCCCTCAATTGTGGGGGTCTTTAACACTCTCCGTGGGTGTATTTGTACTCCGGGGATACTGATATATCTCCTCTCGTACGAGTTGAATACGGGTATGTGCTCGGGTAATATATCTAGTTTGTAGTATTCCAAATTGGTTCGCTCGGAAGGATCAGCTACAATTCCTAGCTCCAAAAGGCTGGTACTGAGGCCAAGATCACGAGCAGGACAATTCCAATTATCTCAGTGCGGGAAGCGTCAATTCGTCATCGGATACTCAACGCCAACTACTAACCATGCTAGAGTCTCTGTAATATTAACAACAACCTAGGAATGCCTAAAGCAGTTCTTAGAGCTATTGATTACACGCGGTGAATTTGTAAGGCTGCAAGTTTGGCCCCGGTATCGTTTTAACCTCCAGCTCGGCGGTCGTCCGCACGTACAACAGTTCATCAACCCATCCCCGTGTGATATGATGCAACCACCATCTTCTCCCGCGAATGCAGAGACTACTGAAGCTACTCAGGTTCACCACAAAATTTTCTGGTCTCCTGGATCACATTACCAGACATTATTTGCCCAGCCAGAATTCCAAATGCAGCTTCATCTATTCACAGACCGTGACCTCTCACACCTCACACCACACCCTGCAAGACTGTCTTCGGTAATCATTTGGAAGAGTGGACAAAGAAAAAAATATTGTCGGTGCTTTTCGTTGACTTTACTTGACTCCCTCCTGGGTGTGTGCCGGATGGCCAAATGATACTCTCCCCCGTGTCGCTTATTACCTCCAACTGGTTTCCCTTGAAGGGCTCCCCAAATACAGTACTGAGGTCGTACCAGGTTGTGTTCCCATCAAGGTTGTACGCGAATATCTGCTGCGGTGATCCGTCGAAAAGTCCGTTTGGTGTCTTTGTCATTTTGAGCGCGATGCCTCCAGATTTAGAGTCGCGATGCAGAGGTTCGTAGTAGGTACCCCCTGTTAATGTCAGATTGTTTCATATCTAATATTTAAAGTATTCATACCAGAAGGCACAATTGTATATCTGCTACCTATGGTGTCACCGACTGACCACAGGTAGAATAGGTCCGTGGAATTGTTCGAGACAACAGCAAGGCCGGCGGAGACTGCTGGGACTGCACACACTACCGACACGATTGAAAGCAGCACGAAGCCGAGGCGCATTATGAAGGATCGGTGACACGTTTGAATATTCGGGACTGACTTGGTACAGGAGCTGGACTAATGACGACAAGAGGCTCGCGGCCCTCGCTTTTTATACATAGCTCTCTATCGTATATGTAACATTAAGGACCAATGCGACATGTTTCTCCGGGGGGTTGGCGACATAATGGACGGTGCAATGAAGCATCCAGACCCAATGTGCAGAATCCAACTGAAGAAATAATCTCGCCGAGCCCTACAACATCATGCCAACAAGCTGGGCAATTTTGCAGCTCCCTAGCTTCACATAAGACGGCTATCTAGTTTGGGCATTCCAATATTTGCGTTTATTGTTTCGATGGTTGTGGGTGGGTTGTCCTCGGTAAATCTATATGATTGACCAGGATTCATGCAGATGTTGTGTAGCCTTACCGGGGGATTTCAAACCACTCCTTTGAGGGAATCCCTCGTATTTTTCTCGCGAAACTTTAACCTGCATGCCACCCACATCGCTAGATAGTGCTCACTAGCCCTGGAAGGCGAGTCCGTGCAGAAACATATATCGACCGGAGCAAATGAACCCTCGCCACAGGGTAAATCGCCGCCTACTTTACCAATTCCAGATCCAGATCTCAAGGCCATGAACCAAAATGCTAGAAATCATGCCGCTCAAAACATCCGCCCATGCTCACTCCAACGAACTCCAGTAGTATATACGGAGTGGCCCTAACCCACCCCTGATCACTCGCATAGGTCCCTCCCAGTGTCGCAATATCATTCCGTTCACGTTGCAATGTTGGTTATCCTTTGCATTTTCCCACGGCGATCAGTCTCGCAACAACAGCCGAGGAGGAATAACCACATCATCAGAGCACCACAAGCATCCGTGCCCATCACTGCGTTGCTCGTAATTCTCAGTCTCTGGATACTTCCGCAGACCTGCATCATGATTTTGAACGAGCTGGGATCGTATAAGTTTTCGCAGTCTAAGTCCACTGGAGTCACGTTGTCACATTGTAACAATGAAGGATGCAAGTGGATCTTGGTAGCGGATGCTGACATTTCAGTACAGTTGCCTTTTCAATTCGCTCAGAAAGCAACCCGCTTATATATTGAGAGATAGGCCGGGCGAAAGCAGGCTCAGCAATCGAATAAAGAGCCTAAAGTGGGGAGGTCTTGCCCTCGCTTCGCGCAATCTTCTCCCGAGATGCCCAGGAACTTCACACATGGGCATGGGCCTCCAAGCCTCAGCTGACATAATTTAATTTGATGGTAGGCCTGATGCTGGGGTCGGGGTATGTCTATTGACCCGGGTTTCGGGGATGACGTTCCACGCGGCCCCGCAAGGAATCGAAATAGGTCGTGGTGAAAATCACCCTCAACGCTGATACAATAAGTCTACCGGCGATGTTAGCTGTTGGCTGAACAATGCAAGTCAGACTAGATCATGCGAGAATCGCCAAGCAAACGCCAATGTTCACCTAATTCTTGAGCCTGCCTCATGGCGTTGGGCAAAGCAAACGAATTCCATCGATGCACTAATTGAGTCCACGGCCAGTCAGCAATCGGAGTATTGGATGGAAGCGACGCCGCGTTGGATGGACTTAGGAACGGGTCTGGTTACATGGAACAACACTAGATCAGCATAGGTGAACTCTTCTCCCATCAACCGTGGGCCTCTATTAATTGCTTTGAGTACTCCTCCCCAATAGGTAAGATGCCTAGAAAGACGCCTCGCGAGCCATTCCGTACTGGCTCTTGTACTTTCCTTTGTTTTAGTCCTCATAGTACAACGCAGTACTGATCGGGTGGTGGCAATTGTGCACTTCGTCGCTTAGGCCGTCGAGCGCAGTAAGAGCGAGGGCGTTGATCCCCCAGATGTCATTCTCTTTTGACACTGCGAGACCAAGTTTGGAGCCAGGGTACACAAAGATGTTGCCGGTCTGCGAGATGGGGAGGTCACTGTGCCGCAGAAGAGGTGTGGCAAAGTAGGGCGGGTTTCCTCCCTCGCCGTTGACGGTCTTTGTCACGATCTCTCGGCATTTCATGCGAGGAAGTGATGTTGTGTCGCTGTACGAGGCACCAGTTTCCTCGAGGAGTAGTCAGACATGTTTTCCACATCTGGGAACGCCAGCATAGTAGATAAGCTCGTAGGATGCAGCCATTCTGGAGCGGGAGAAAATAAACTGTAGTGTCCCTACACACAGTGACACCCTACTATAAAGTTATATGCCACACATGCGCCGCCCACATACGGGTCCGCATTCTTCCTCTAAGCGTAAGCTGACCTAAGGGCCCGGAGAGGCAGGTGTTGTGACTGTCAAAAGCCGTGCCACTTGCGCGCCGTGTTGGAAAATTGCTGGGTTGTATGTACCGATGTTCAATACGTGCGAACGATCCACGATCAGCTCCGGAAGGGACTTGAGGCCCAGATAGTTATTTTAGTTGGTACAATGGGCCAATGGCTTACATTCCTCACGGTGTCGGTCTCTTTGATCGATAGATCCATGTTGAATTTCTAGTCTACTTCGTTATTCCAAGGTTGGCGAGGGTATAGGAATAGGCTCAAAAGATGCGGCGACGTGGATTGAAAATCTTCATTCGTATGAGGCTATTACGATGTACGCAGACATCCTCGGCGTTCGCGTCCGATAGACCTTGATAGGGGGAATGTGTGGATCCTATCTATGTCCGGTCCAGGGGGATTGGGGCAAAGTAATCTTGAGGGTAACCATAGAGTCTCAACATGCTTGGGCTTGACCCGGCCATCTCCTTAGTCTTGTCCACACGACTGTTACTTGCCATTCTTAGCTTCTCTGAGCCGTTTTTGAATTGCTAACTTCTGATCCTGCAACGCCTTTATTCTTCGCGCTTCCTCAATCTCGGCGTCAATCCTCCTTTCTTCTTCTTCTAGGGCGGTTATTTCCGCATCCGAGAGCGGACGATCATGGCGCGGGACCGGAGCAGCTGCAAGATACAAATTCTCCTCAGGGTCATTCACCCAGGGTGGTGATGATGCAGCGGCTCTGGGTTCGGGGATATGCATATTAACCTGTGGACTGTCGGGTGTGGCTTGGCTCCCAACGGGAGATTGTACTGGAGGTGTCTGCGCAATTGGTAGCTCGTGATGGGGATTATTGGAGAACTTCCGGGATTGAGTGGGTGTTTCGGCAGGTACGTTGGAGAACGTATTAGAGACCTGGGAAGGAACTACGGCGGGTATTGAGCTATGAAGTTCGTGAACCCTCGGCGAAGTTCCGTTATCCTGCCCCGAAAGTTCGCCGACTTTGTACACCTGGCTTCCACCAAGCTCTGGTTTCGGGATCATGCCGTTCTCGCCCATCACGACTTCTTTACCCTCAGGGTCGAGCGTTATTCCCGGAGTAGGTGTATTGCGTTTCCTCCACCAAATGAGGAACGCCCCGATTACGAGACATACCACAAGTATAACACCAACTGCTATTCCTGCCTTCGCAGCCCCAGAGAGCCCGGGGTGCGCGTTGGGGCTGGCAGTTCCTGTTCCCGAAACACGTGCATTTGTACTAGCCGGGCTAGGAGTGCCGGTCGGGCCGGTAGTTGCTCGCGCGGCACTGCCCAGGTCCGATGTGCCAGTAGACAGTCGAGCAGTCGATGAGAATGAGGAAGTTGCCCGAGAGCTTGTGGATGGGAAAGACACGGAAGGGGTGGCGGAACCCGTGTACAGAGCAGCAGCAGATTTTGACCCACAAGAGGCCGAACTACAGGCCTGCTGTCCCGAAAGATCATTGGGGTGGCTTTCTATACATTGTGATTTGAGCTCTTGGCATATCAATGCTGGTAGACTACTTGAGTACTCCTCTAGGCTGAGAGTGATGCTATTTGCGCAAGTGCAGCTGTAGCTGAGGTCGTTCTGAGCGCGTTGACGTTAGCAATTGATGACCTTTTGACTGTCGCATCCATTGCGTGATCGGGAACTAACGGCATTGCATGTGTTGGTCGAAGCCCCCACACTTCCACACACAGTAGAACAAGTCGAGAGCTCAGTACTGCACCACGCGGATCTCGTGGCAGAGGGGACAGAATTCGGATCCAAGGTCAGAGTTGCAGGAACTGCAGCCATTGTGAGGGGAGCACTGTGTCCAGAGTTCGAGAAAGGCGAGCAGACCCGTCTTTAAGAAGAGTGCCTAGTGTTCGCAGGGGTCAAATGGCCTGAACGTAAATGAAAGTCCGTTGTCTGAGCCGTTACTTGGGGGCCTGAAGGCGCCTCATATTTCAACCGTTGTCTGCCAACTCAATTTCTCGAGCGCAACCAAGCAGCGAACTTCATTTTAAAATTGGTCGCCGACAGGATCGCTTTGATCACTAATGAGAGAAATGTGATGCAGAGAGAGTGTCTAAGGAGAACCAGGAAAGAATCCAATCGAAGGGTGCAGAGTGAAGCGTTTTAGAGTACGAGGTATTGCGCCACGCCCTTCGGCTAATCTTGCCAGTGCGGGAGGGTTCTTGTGTTATGAAAGTTGGTGTTACGACCGTCTGGTTGGGCCACAGGGAACACCGCCAAGGCCAACCCCCACAGGGGAAGGACGGACCGACCCTGGTCACGTGACGTGGTCAGATCAAGCAATGTACTCGCAAGGCTTAGCACAATGCTTGCCGTACTTTATCTCACAAGTCTGCGGCTCTACAGAAGATTTTAACGTACACCATGGGCGAGTTGCTCATACATGTGACGGCGCGTACCGCGTCACATGCTCTGCAACTCAAGCTCCCTCGCTTGCGCAACAAGTAGCGCCTTCGTGCAATGAGTAGCGCCTTGGCCGAGGGCACACATGTATATTTAAACTCGCAGAGCAGCTCCTCTGCTCCTTAGTTTAATCTAGTTGGGTTACACCACCTCTTGCTTGTAGCTTGAGCATGCCGATCGTGACAATACACCCGGGTCGCTCACTTTTGCTTAGGTCACACCACAACGCACTCTATTATAGCCTATAACAACCCGCTCTAGCATTTTATAGTACAGTACTGTAACGATTCTCACGAATCGTTCCATCTCGGGTCGCTCGGATCCTATCCGAAGGGTCCCCGTATCGGCCCCGACCATGACTCGACCCTGTCCCCCGCAGTTACCCCTATTCCCTCATGTATTTAGTCGCACCTCTCCCCTTAGCTAGCTCAGTAGTTTTCTGATATCCTTTCGTACAAGGCCTATAGGTGTCAATGGCATTCCCAGGTTCAGAGTCCCCACGCACTCCCATATGCCTCTGAGTGGATTCCCACCGCATTCGGACCCATTGTCTTGCCTGCGCCGTTACAAGTACAGCATTGAATATTATTTGGAGACTACTTCTACTTTTTGCTTACACATTTGCGTGTTCTGCCTAGTTAAATTGCATTGTCTGCAGCGCCTTTAGAATAGCTTACTGTCACGGTTATGTTACAGCTATCCAACCCCTGAGTACCCTTGTCAGATATGCGCACCTACTGTCAAGACAGGAGGAACGCTTGACGAAAGCTGCTACATAGTACGAGCAATAAGCTCGAACAGTATGTTGCAGCATTTTGCAGCATGTTACAGCATTTTGCAGCATTTTGCAGCAAATTGCAGCATGTTGCAAGCTGGTCGCGCATAGGGCAAGTGCGCGAGGGACTCGGATCGGCAAAACAAAAAGCCGAGCAACACGAGTAGAGCAGAAAAAGGATCGATAAATCAATACAATCAATCATCATCCCATACATCATATCCAAACCCATCATTCATCTCAGGAAGCCTAGAAACAGTGCTTCAATCTGACACTAATATTCTTTTAGCACATCTAAGTAGTGTTGTTAGAAATACATTAGTGTAGTGTCACGGTATCCTCCCCGGATCCCAGACATAACTGTATTAGACGCGTACTAGAGTATTATTAGTGCACGTCTGACACAAACACAACACAACACAAACATAAACTTAAGCATAAACTGCTTTAACACTAACTAAACCTAGAATAGGCTTAATTTATACTTAAAGCGCTTAGACTTCTAAGCTAAGTATTTAATTACTAATTTCTTTTTAAACTTTTTTATTTCTTACACAACGTCTTATACCTACTATAATACCTTACATAGTAATTAAACTAGACCTCTGTAAAGCTTTATAACCTTACTTATACATAATTATAACATTATATTGTGTTAAAACTTTAGCTAAGAATAGCCTCTAAATTTAATCTAATAAGCTTAGTACTTGCATAACTCTAAGCTATTAAAGTAAGCTAAAAAGCCTTTTAAAAAGCGCTTACTTTATAAGAAAGCTGCTACATTATAAGCTTAAAAGCTTTTTAAAAGGACTTTAAAAAATAGCTTTATGTTATTAAGTAGTCTGTTTCTGCCTTAACTTTTGTTATAGTAGTAGGAACTAAGAACTTACTAGCTTTAAAGCTTACTTAAAAGTCTAGAGATAGCTTAACTCTTTTCTATCTAACGCTGCCTATAACCTGTAACCTTTTTAACCTAGTAATAAAATCTAACTAACTTCTTAATCCCCTGCTGTTTAACAGAAAATAAAAAGACTTACTTTCCTTTTTATATAAGCTTTAATATAAACTTAAAGAAAACATAGACTAATTCCCCTTTAAACACTTTTAGTTACTATATGCTAACTTTTAACTTAACTATAATATAACAGCTTTAATTAACTTACTAATAAATAAAAATATTATTAACTTAGATTAATTTATAGTGTTTTTATAAGTAACTTATAAAAACTTAAATAAAAAGTTAATAGCTTTAAGTTACTTAAACACCTTATAATAAAAAAAAAAAAGCTTTACTTTACACTTTACTAAGTTCTACTAACTTATATTTAATATAGGCCTAAATAAAATAAGTCTAATTATAGCTTTATATAACTCCCTCTTAACTAAACTGTAACGCGCTATAGTAGAAAAACCCCTTTTAAATAACCTTAACACATATGTAAACTTAATTACTACTTATAATAATAACATAAGGTTCCTTTTTATATAAGCTCTAATACGCCCCTAAACTAGCACAGTTATAAATAAAAACTTTAATATAATAAAAATTAATTTAAATTATGCTTTAATTAGTTCTAAAAAGTGTAAAAATTATAAAAAAAAAAGTTAATACTTTAAGTATAGTAAGTATAGTTATATTTTTTAAAACTACTTTATTTTTTTTTCTTAAGTTTACATAAGTAGTGCTGCTAGCACTTGTTAAAAATTTTTACTATTTTAATTTTATTTTTATAAGGGCTTTAACTTATATTTAAGCTTTAATCTTTCTTACTACTTTTAACATAGCTGCAGCTATAGTAGTAAAAGCCTATAAAAAGGCTTGTTCTAGGGCTAAGTTACTTTTTAGAACTAATTTAACACTAGATTTTTACTAACTTATAAGCTAAGTTCTTTACTAATAACTAAAAGTACTAAGTTAATATTTTTATATGTTTATAATAAAAAACTATATTAGCTCTAATATAAGCTTTTATTAACTTAAAGGTAAATAGTGTAGGTTATATTAATAAAAAACTAGTGTGTAAACTAAATCTTTAATTAACACTACTTACCTAAATAATTTACCTAACTAGATTTAATAAAAAATAACTTAAAAAAAGTTTTATTTTTTGTACTATAACTATTATAATTACCTACTAATACTATAAAAAGTAGATTAAGCTCTATGTAATAAACATAGAATGTTATAACTTAATTCTAGAATAACTATAGCTATATTAGCATAAAGTTACTTTTAATTACTAAGAGTAAGTTCTAAACTTTAACTTTTTTTAATGCTAAAATGTATGCTTATGCTTACACTTAAATAACACTTAAGTAGCACTTAATATAAAAGGTTTTTAGACCTACTTTTTAATAACTTAGAAAAGAACTACTTAAGTAAGGCTAATAAGCTAGGCCTTTTACTAAAATAAGCTATATAAAATAATTTAATAACTGCTTAAACTTAAAAAAAAAAAGCCTTTAAAAAATCTTTACCTACTTAATTTAAACATAAACTAGGACTTAAACAGTAGATAGACATCTGCTATATAAAACCTACTTTATTTATAACTCTAGCTTAACAACTAAATTATAAAATCTATATAGTTATAATTTCTAATATAGACTAAGCTTTAGCTCTCTAAAAATGCACTAACTTAAAAATAATAGTTTTTTAAGACTACTATAACTTATTACATATTTTCTTTTAAAACAAGTTTAATAAGCTTTTAATATAACATTTATATAATTACTAAATAACTTTTAAGCTTAGTAAATAACTTAGTTATAGGCTACTATATAAAATGTTGCTAAATAAATTAAAAGTGCTTTAAAAATACTTTAATAAAAACTTAAAAAAAAAGTTTATTTAAGCTAGCTTTTTACTAGTAGTGTTACCTATACTATTTATAAAGAAACTTAAAAGTAAGCTTTAATTTTATATTAACTACTAAGAACTAAACACTATTACTATTAAAAACTAATACTTAATTTTTTTTTATAAGAAACCTTAAGCTAACTAAGTAAAGTAAAGTATTTTATAAAGTTAGATATTATTACTACCTTTAATAAGCTAAAAATAGTAAAAAGTAATAAGTAGCTAACAGCATTTTAGACCTAATATAGACTATTTAAGTACCTAGTAATGTCCTTTAGCTTAGCTAACACGCCTAGTACTTTTTAATATTTTATAAATAACTTACTTTAACTCTACTTAGACATGTTCTGCACTATGTATATTAATAATATTCTAATCTATAGTAATAGCCTTTTAGAGCATAAACAGCATGTACGCCTAGTGCTAAAAGCTATAGAAAAAGTAGGTCTATAACTTAACATAGATAAATGTAAGTTTTACTAATTAAAGGTTATATATTTAAAATATATAATCTTTATAAATAGCATCTAAATAAACTCTGTTAAGGTTTAGACTATGCTAGATTAGTAATACTTAAAAAATATAAAAGATGTTTAAGCCTTTATAAGATTTACTAACTTCTACTAATAATTTATTAATAACTTTTTATAGTAAGTAAGCCTTATAATTACACTTACTAAAAAAAAAATTTAATTTAAGTTTAACTTAAATTACTAATAGTTTTTTAACTAGCTAAAAAAAGCTTTTACTAAAGCTCTAATACTCTACTACTTTAACTTTAAACTACTAATACTTGTAGAAGCTAATGCCTTAAACTACATAGTAGCAGGAGTTTTTTTCTAGACTAAGCTAGATAGGACTATTAGGCCTATTACATACTTTTTAAAAAGAATAAGCTTTATAAAAGGTAATTATAAAATCTATAATAAGAAATTACTTACTATAGTACACTGCTTTAAATAATAGCAACTTAAACTAAAAAGTGTAGCGCATCTAATATAGGTTTTATTTAACTATAAGAACTTATAGTACTTTACAACTATAAAATAACTTAGCTACTAATAAGCTTATTAGTCTAAATACTTATCTTATTTTAATTTTAAGATTACTTATTATTCTAGTTAAAATAAAGAAAAACTAAATACTTTTATAAAGTAATCTTAAAACATCTTTACTTAGAAAAAAGCATAAAAGGCTTAACACTAAACTCTACTCTAACTTAAGCTATTTTTAGACTTTTACTTAAATAAAACTAATTAGATAATTAATTAAATTATTATTAATAAGTATTTAAATAATAAATTTATCTAAGAAACTTTAAACCTACTCTAAAACAGCACTAGTTAGTTAAAGAAGGTAATACTAGCTAACTATAAAAATTAAAATAGTAAGCTATATTACTATAACTAACTTATAATTTTAATTCTAATAAACTAAGAATTAAACTACTCTAAATTATATATAACTTGCCTGTTAGAGGACACCTAGGCAGAGAAAAGACTCTTAACCTACTACAGAGAGAGTACTACTAGCCCCACATGTTCTATACTGTACGCTAATATGTATTATGTTGCTATACTTGCTGTAAAGTAAAAGCCTTTTAAAAAAGGTATAATAGCCTACTTAAACTGCTTTTAATTTTTAAATAAGCTTAAAAAAACATATTAATTAATTTTATTATAAACCTACCTTTATCTAAAAAGTATATAAATATTATAGTAGTTGTTAATTACTTAACTAAGTATTAACACTTAATACTATATTCCTTTATAACTACTTTTATTATAGCCTAGTTATTCTACTAATACATATAAGTTTACTATAGCCTGCTTAATATAATTATATTAGATAAAGGTACACAGTTTGTCTTAGCCTTCTAAAATAAACTTTATAAATAGCTCTAAATTATCTTTTATCTATTTATAGCTTTTTACTTAAAGACTAACAGCTAGACTAAGAACATAAATGCTGTAATAAAATAAGTTTTATAAGTGTACATAAACTACTAGTAGAACAACTAGGTAAAATAGTTAGCTATAGCATAGTTTAAAGCTAATAACATAACATTTAAATTAACATAAGTATCTTTATTCTTAGCAAACTATAAATACTACTTTTAAATACTCCCTAACTAACTTATTAATTTATATAAGTAATAAATATAAATAAACTTATTAATAAAATTTAAAATATATCTAAATATATTTATAAAAAGCTTACATAGGCTTAAGCTTTTTAACAAAAGTACGTAAACTAATTTTAAACTCTTGCCCCTGCGTATGCAGCTAGCAAGAAGGTCTAGCTAGATGCTAGAAATATTTAAATAAACTAATAATTAAAGAAACTTAATTAAAAGAACCTTAGCCTCTTTATAGTAGCTTATATAGTTTTATTATACACTTACTAATTAATCCTACCTAATAGCATAAAGATACACCCTGTGTTCTATGTATTGTTGCTGCGCTAAGCAGCTCTTAAATTTAACTATTTACCTAGACAGCTAAACTTACTACCTAAACCTATTATTATAAATAATAAACTAAAATATATTATAAAAGACATTAAATAGATCTAGTTTAATAATAAAAAATGTATCTATAAATACCTTATAAAATAAACTAGATACAACAAACTGTTATAGAAACCTACAGAAGCTTTATAAAAGAACTCTATAGTAACCTAATTTTATGCCTAATACTTATTTAAACTAAACTTATACCCTAACAAAGACAACCTAATGCTAGAACTACTAATGTAAAGGATTCCCTTTTTAATAAAAGAGGGGTACTGTCACAGTATCCTTTCTAGATCCTAGACATAACTGTATTAGACATGTACTAGAGTATTATTAGTGCATGTTTAACATAAATATAACATAACATAGATATAAACTTAAGCATAAACTACTTTAATACTAACTAAACTTAAAATAGGCTTAATTTATACTTAAAGCGCTTAGACTTTTAAGCTAAGTATTTAATTACTAATTTTTTTCTAAACCTTCCTGTTTCTCACACAACGTCTTATACCTACTATAATACCTTACATAGTAATTAAACTAGACCTCTGTGAAGCTCTATAACCTTACTCGTGCACAATCGTGACATGTAGGAAAAGTAGTTTAGTAAGGTCTTAGTAAAAGTAAGCAACTTAGGTGTGTAAGCAACTTGCCTGTAAAGTATGTTATTACTTTTATTAAAAAGTAGTAATGCTACTTAGTTTATATAGTAAAAAACTAAGATAAACTAAACTTTAATTATAACTTTTTTATAACGTACTTCATAGGCGAGTTGCTCACACACCCAAGTTGCTTACTTTTGCCAAGACCCCACCCTAACAAACTCTATTATGGCCTATAACAACCTGCTCTGGCACTATATAGTACAGTACAGCCTAGAATATTATTTAGATACTACTTCTGCTTCTTGCTTACATGTTTGCGCGTTATGCCTAGTCTAATTGCACTGTCTACAGCGCCTTTAGGATAGCTCACCTACTTTAGCTTGCACCTGCTTCTTTACCTTCTTTCTGTTACTGCGCGCTCTAAACTCCTTTAGAGCTATTAAGTATAGGCTTTTCTAAATTATTAAGGTCTTTTCTGCCTTAATCTGCTTTCTTTTATGTAATTTATGTTATGTAGCAGCTTTATTAGCTGCTTAAAGCTTAGTAATTTTCTGTTGCGCTAACACTAGCTTATACATAATTATTACTACCCCCTTTAAAACTTTTTTAAACGCTTTAACTATAAAAGTTAGTAAACTATTTATATGCTTCTAAATTCTTATCTTTATAAGCATTAATTATAACCTAAGTTCTAAAGTATTACTTAGGGTTTACAACTACTAAGGCTTATTATATATAAGTAGTAGTAGCAATAAAGTGTGTAACTTTACATTAAGGCTTATTATAACTTATTATAGGTTAAAAGGAACTAATCTAGCGCTTTAGAACTCTTCTTAGATATTACTAAAAGTAATTATAGCATAATAAGCTACTTTAAAGCATAGCAAGAACTTTATTTTTATAATATAAGTAATCTAGTTACGCATAAGGTTTTTAGCTTAGCACTTATATACCTTTTTTAAAGAAGTAAAATAACCTATATTAAGTAGCTATAAAAGGTGTAATAAGTAAAAAAGCATGTAGATAGTAATAATCTTATTATTTTTATAGTATTACTAAAAATAAAGTAAGTTATAGCTTTTATAGCTGTTAATAACAAGTAGATAGTAGCTGCTAACAGTACACTTCTTTATATGCGCGTTAAAGTGCTTTAACTAGTCTAGACTAAGCTAATTAGTAGTCTAGCTGCGCTTAGAGATTATAATAACTTAATTCTAAAGTAAATTTTTCTTTTTATACTAGTTTAAAAAGTAGTTGCTACTCTAGAAGATAATAAAAGGCAAAATAGCTTACCTTTTAGCATTAATACTCTAAATAGCTGTTATCTACTTCTAGTTGCCTAGCTAGACTGCTTTTAGCTGTCCTTGTCTCTCTAAACCTGTAATAACTGCCTTAGTAGATATTTAGCTTATTATAAACTTTATCTTATTAAAGTTGTACATGTTGTTATTCTAGATGCTATACTTAGCTTTAATATTTTTTATAAAGTTAAACTAGCTTTAAATTACTATAAGATTTTTATAAAAAGCTCTTTTATAGTTATACTTACACTTAAACTTTACTTTAAGCTTTAAGTAACACTTAATAAATATATTAAGCTAGTTTATACTATTATAGCCTATATTATGCTTAGTGTGTAAAGAATTAGCTATATTAGCTATAGCTACTAGCTAGGGGGGAAATCCTTGCGCATCTAGCTTAAGTATGTGCTAAATAATTACCTGCTTTTTATTATTATCTAGCTTTTATAAGTTAGCTGTATAATTAGCTTAGAAAAGTTGTCTAGCGCGTTAGTTACTTATTATCTTTTAAAAGACCTTATAGATAGCTGCAGCATGTTACTTAAAAAGTGTTATGTTTTATTTAAAAGCTTAAAGCATAAGCTGCATTTAATGTTCTTTTAACACGTCTAAGTAGTGTTGTTAGGAATGCATTAGTGTAGAAAAAGTAGTGTAGTAGGGTCTTAGCAAAAGTAAGCAACTTAGGTGTGTAAGCAACTTGCCCATGAAGTACGTTACTAGTTAAGATCTAAACTATATATATAAAGTTCTAAGAATTAATTGTTATTGCGCGCTGTAAGCGTCTAACATTGCAGCGCTTATTAGCGCTTATAGCGCTTAAACGTCCTTCTCTTATTAGACACTACATTCGGCTGTGCACTAGCTTAATAGGTCTGTCTATTCGTCGCCCGTTAGGTCACGTGAATTAACAGGTGGGGTGACAAGGGGATTCCAGGCTTGTTCGTTCAAACAGTAGGGCTTCTGTGGGTGGTAGCTTACGGTCCAATGGTGGGTTGTAACAGAGACTTTCTCTATTACCTATTAAAATCTAAGCTAGTTTAGACATATAGTAGTAGAGCTATAATAATTCTTAGTTAAGCTAGTGCATAGTAAAGGAGGTTTAGAACTATAATATTACCTAAAAAATTACAAAGGTCCCTTAGACAGCTAGGGAGAGAAAGCCTTTCTTACACCCTTATTAGCTAGAGAGATAGGGCTTGCGCCACTAAGGCTACTAGCCAGGGTTCCAATTCACTAGGCTCTCTCCCCATCCCGTCTGAGCTTGCTGAGATAAGGTTTTAGTAGATCCAGCAACCGCGCTAATCCAAATATGGAAAGGAACTTAGCATCGTCACCGCCACAAGGCCACTTTTGGGGTGGGACTGAGGCAGTAGGGCATTGACGCCGAAGTCGTTGTGGCCCAAATTCGCAACCAGCACACCCAGCTATACCTCCGATCCCCGTGTCAGCCGCTACTCTATGACGCTGATTCCAGCTCCGATATATGCCAAGTGCTAGCAAGCCCATGCAGAAAGGGCGGCGGGCATGAGAGCGACCCTACCAGTCCACAACGCCGACTATGCGCCCTCTCTTAACCCTTAGATTCACATCGCGCAAGTCCATGTGCAAAAGGCATTTGGGAAATCGTTCCAGACCGCGTGCCAGCCGTTTAAGTTTTCCTTCAGCAGGAAGCGGTGGCAGTGACGGCACCAATTTGTCCAGCTCGGCCCATGGGCGGGTAATCCGTTTCGGAAGTACGTCTAGAACTTCCAATCCTTCTTGTGCGATTAAAGGATCCATTTCTGGCAAAGAAATACTATGCAGCATACCCATAACTCTTCTAATTAGAGTTGGCAACAATTAAGTTAACTTAATAACTTGACTTAATTAACTTAATTAATAGCTGTTAATTAAGTTAATTAGCTAGGCAAAATTTACTAAGTTAATTAAGCAAATTATGCCTGCTTAATTAACTTAATTAACAGACTTAAATCCCTAGGATCTTAGGTTTACTAGGGGATATAGGATCCTTTAGTGTGCAGGAGTAGTAAATATAGTATAAGGCAGCTTAGCTTTAAGGGACTTTAGAGTTGTAATAGTTGCCTAACTAGGCTTAGCGCTATATATCTAAAATTCCTTAACTTCTACTGCCTACTAACTTACCTGCCTCTACTACCTCTCTTACCCTACTAACGCCCCCCTTTATTAATATAGCGTTGCCTAATTGTTTAGAAGGCATAAATAGTAACTTTATAAAAGTCTAGACCTAGCAGCTTAAAAGCGCAACCTTATAAATTACTCCTAAAAATAGCTCTACTAATTTAGCCACTAACGCGCTGTTAGAGCTTAACGCTAACAAGAGCTCTATAGGAGGCACCCTCTTTACTACTAACATTAACAACAATAATAACAACGCGTATAAGGGCATTAAATAGACGTGTCTACTTAATTATTACAAGCTAGCTTACACAGCAAAGCGCAGTTAAAAAAGCTAGGTTTAGCAGTACAGGTATTACCTTTAGCACTGCAAGCAACAACGCTTGTACTAGCTCTGCTGCTATTACTACTGTTATAAGCACCTTAATAGGTTCTATTAAGCTAATCTATTAACTACGTTAATTGCGCGCTATCTTGCTAAGTGTAAGGCTAGCCACAGCGTTAATAAGAATAGCCTAAAAGCCACCTCCTGCGTTACAACTCCCTCCTAGTAATCCTCCCTGCTTGCCTACCTTTACTATAAAGGCCTTAGGGTATCCTAGAGTGTTGCTAACCTTATTACAGAGAGCTTCTTACGCACAAACTTTCTATAATTAGTGCTTAACTAGGTAGTAGCTAATAACTAGGCGCTCTCTGTAATTAAGGGCGCTGCTTTTTAAGCTATGTTACAGCAGGCTAACCTGTTAGCTAAGGCAGAGCTGTAGAGGTCCCACAACACCCTACAAGCTTATATAATTGCGGAGTATAAGTTGTACGTGCCTGCTGTTATTAATTATCTTTGTAACGCGTAATTAGCTATACACATCTCCCTTAACAATTAGACGTTAATAGGCAGTAAGCAGGCGCTTATAGGGATCTGCGTACACTACCTTAATTGCGACAGCGCGCCTTGTGATTACGTACTTAGCCTGCCCTTATTAATAGGCTAGCATACAGGCGTTAATATTGCTACTGTTGTTAACGCTACACTTAAAAGCTTTAAAATCTCTGCACATAACTTAGGTTACTTTGTCCTTAATAACACTACTAATAATAACTCTATAATTAACACCCTAGCTATTAAATACAACTTTAACCCTTACTATTAATAACTATATTGCGCCTACTATATAATTAACTTTACTGCTTAATAAATTATATTTAGCAAAGATTATAAAGTGTTTAAGAATGCAAAGGAGCATCTTAAAGAGGAGAAGGCGTTTCTTAACAAGTAGTGTAAGGCTAGCCCTCTAGGCGTCCTAATTAACGTTATCGCCTCTATCTATACGCTGCAAGCCCGCCAGCTTCTTAAACAGTGCTAGATAACCTACAACACTTAATTAAAGCTAGATCGCAAGGTTAAAACGCTAGAGATTATTAAACTAGTAAAGATAAAGTAGAACTCTTATTATAACTATTTTACACGCGCGCTTAAGCTCTACATGCCTTTTAATAAGTATATTAGCTATAAGCTTGTTAAATATTATTACTAAGGCCTTTATTAACACTTCTAACTTAGTAATCTTAAGAAGCGCTAGTTTATTAAAAAAGATAGCCTCTCTGCTAAGGATTAAGTAATAATTACAGAGTACTAAAAAATTCTACAGCTCTTTAAAGAGGCCACTACCTGTATAGAGGGCAGGGGCGTAGCTAGCACGTTAGGCGCTATCTAGGAGGTGCTCCCTACGCTTAATTAGCTTGCAACCACCCTTAATAAGATGCTTTTTTAGTATAATAACATTAACTTTAACAACGTTAACGCCCTAGAAGACTACATTTAAGCTACCTGTAACCACACCTAAGATCAATCAAGCCAGCTTAATAGCTTGATTAGAAGATTAATGCTAAGCTAATTTAATCAATCCAGCCAAACCTTATATAGAAACGTAATTAATCTAGCTAAGCTTTTCTGTAAGCTTAATTTAGATTAATAGCTTAATTGCCTTAAGTATATAGTAGATTTTAGAGATAAGGTAGCCTATAAGGCAGCTTAGATAGCTATAAAAGCTCTATACTAAACTTTTTTTAGTGTTGTTTACTGTGTAGTATTATGTAATATCTAATAACTCTGTGTAACTAGCAGCTAGTGTGTTGTCTTATATTGTATACTCCATCTCTATCTATCACCTATAATGCTATATACTTCTGGTGTTGCAGATCTATCGCTGTATACCTCACCCCATTGTTGCCCTTATGCCGCCTAAGAAACGTATCTCTAATAGCGCTCCCTTGCCTAAAAAGCGTGTGCGCGGCACTGTAAGCTAGCTTATTATAATTAACTTACTATTATTTTAATCTTAGCTATCTGCCCTATCTCTGCTGCCTTTATATACACATACTTTTAAGTTATAATTGCGCAAGTTGCAGCCTAAAGATGCTATTATTACGCCTACTAAAAGTAGTAAGTAAGCTACACTTGCTCTGTTTTTTAAAGCAGCTAATAACACTATAGATAAGGCTTTTAACACTTATTTTAAAGACAATTATAATAGCATAGATTAGAATTATCTTAAGCTGTATATAAAGCCTATTATAACGCACTAATATAAGCAAAGTTAGATCTATTGCTATAGCTATTATGTTGCTCTTTTTAAAGATCTAACCTATATATTTTTTATCTACTACTAGTGTTTTAAGCACAAGCTTATAGATATTAGTATTAGGATATATAATACAAGCGTAGCAGTCTTGTTAGCTGCGCGCTACCTTAGCAAGCAGAAGCCTAGCTATAAGCTTATAGCACTAGGCAAGACTCTAATTACTAGTGTTTATAACACGCTTATTACTGTAAAAGTTCTTATTTTATAGGCAGTAGCTAATTAGATTAACAGCTTTAGCAAGTAGCACTTTAAGTTTACTATAGTTAACTAGCTTATTATAAATAACTACTTTATCTTTAAGTTTAAAACACTAGCTTTTTAACACTTAATTGCTATTACTAACCTGCTTACTAAAGTAGTGCTATAAAAGAACTATAAGAGTGTCTTCTAATATGTTATATAACTGTTTAACTAGCTTAGGCCCTGCGTTGTTTATAAGCTGTTATAATTACTTAGTAGAATCTATATAAGCTTTAACAGATAGATAATAAAAGCTAGTAAGCGCAGGTTTCTTAGTATTGTCACCTACTATATTAACTTAGATAGCAAGCTCTAAGACCTACCTATTACGCTGCCTTAGCTTATAGGCGCTTACACTAGCAATTAACTAGCTAAGGTTGTATTATTAATATTAAAGCAGTTTAGCATAAGCAAGCGCACACTTAGTTACTTTATTCTTAATAACGCCTTTAATAATAACACTACTGTTGCTGTAATTGCTTATAAGCTTAAATTTAATCTTATTTGCTAATGCCTTTACTATAGCCCTTATATAATTAATCTAATTAGGCAGAGACTGCTCTAGGGCAGAGATACAGACTTATATAATAATAAGAGAGTTAACAAGCTTGCTAACAAGGCAGCATTTATAAAAGAGTAGTAAAAGCATAGACCTTTAGGCGTACTTTTTAATATTATTAACTATATTTACACACTGCAGCAGTATAATCTCTTTAAGAAGGCGCAGCGTACAGCTTACTGCAAGCTGCCTTATAACATAGATAATAAGCTTACAATACTGCAGCTAATTAAGCTAGTAGTTATACGCTAGAACTTATACTTTAACTATTTTAAGCAAGCTATAAAGCTTACACTAGCTATTAACGCGTACGCAAACACCCACATACAAAATACAGTAAAAGAGGATATCTACGCTAACTTACAGGGCAAGAATTAGCCTACTACTCTATAGTAGATAAGATTAGACAGCCTTATAGCTACTAATTAGGCTATTGTTACTAACTATATAGAAGTTCTTAGGCTACTTAAAGAGTATATAAAGCGCTTTAAAGGACATAGTAAGTATAGCTTTAGCGTAATTACTAAGGTAATCTTAATGTTTAAGTTTCTACTTACTTAATTAGAAGCTTGCCTCCTCTACTATAATAGCATAGTCTATAACGCTTATAATAAGGCGCCTAAAGATTATCTTTCTATTAATCTACACGCAGCGCTGCTTAAAGTAAATAAGTACTACACTAAACTTAACAACTTACTAGCTTACTATGCTGCTATAATACTCTATTTTTGCTACAAACATTACTGTAATTAAGCGTAGGCTAAAAAGTCTAATTAGCTAGCATCTAATAATCTTAATTTCTAGGCACTATAGGTAGATTATAAGTTGCTACTGTTACTAAGGCCTTACTACACACACGCACTAAAGAAACTAAGCAATATTAACAACATAATTAATAGTATTATTAATCCTACACGTAGTAATACTAAGAAGGATAAGTATAAGTAGTAAAAGTATAAGCTAATTATTAGCAAAAGCACTAATTCTATATAATACTAGTTTAGGCTACGCAATTAATATTCTAACCTTAGTAAGATAGCGCTTATAATACTCTTTATACTAGCTTTAAGCTGTAAGTGTGAGCGTGTCTTTAGTAAGCTTAGAGATCTACTAGAGCCTTGCTAACGCTGTATATTACCTAAGCTACTTGCAGCACTACACTTAGTATAATAATAGAGATAGGCTAGTTTTAGTAGCAGCAATAATAATAATATAGGCTAATTAAAGCTTACTAACAAGCAGATAGACGTTTTGTACAAGCTTAGTAAGTGGGTAGGCAAAGACAATAATCTAGATACATAGAACAACAGCTAAGACTTAACACTAAAAAATATATACAACTTTCTTATTTAGAAATTAAGCACCTAAGCTACTAATTAAGCTAGCAACTTTCTGCTAAGCTAATTTAATTAATCTAGCTAAACCTTATACTAAAACGCAATTAATTAAGCTAGAAACTGCTAGCTTGCTTAATTAATTAATCTCAGGTGTGCCTATAACATAGCTTATATTAAGATTATTAATTATATGCGTAAGTTAAAGGACGCCCCAGCTTATTACACTGCCTGCTGTCTCTACCCACGCACAAAAAGTTACATAGATAAAGTGTAAGCAGTGCCTCTTAATTACAACAAGGAGCTTTGTAAAGGACCTTACATATACAAAGGCTAGCTAGATAACTGCTACCTTAGCTTTTAACACTTGTAGGTAGAGTTTAAAGACGCTGCCTCTCCTGTCAGTACTCTAGAGCCTCTGCTAAAGAAGGCACGTACAGGGCCAGCTAGGAGCCGGTCAGATTTTATAAGAGCTGCCCTATAAGGTGACAACGCCTGCCTAACCTATTACTGTAATAAGTTTAAGCGCTAGATAATTAAGTTACCTATACTAAAAAAGTCCCTATTTACGCGCAACCTAATTCTATACTAGATAAGGAAGGCTAACAAGTACCCTATCTTATCACGCTTTGCCCTTACAATCCTCAGCATCCCTGTGGCGGCCACTAATTGTGAGAGGACCTTCTCTGAGCTAGGTGATTTGCTGGAGACAAGGCGTCTCTGCATAAAGGCAGACCTCCTCTCTGCCCTACAAAGCCTACGTAGTTGGAAGCGCCTTAGCTTAAAGCCTACAAAGTTAGCAAAAAGTCCACGTAGTAACGCTATCTCTCCTAAAGACCTAGAGACTATCTACAAGATATACAGCAGTTAATTTACTATGTAATCTATTAATTAAGTTAATTAAGTTAATTAAGTTAAGCCTTATTTGTGCTATTAAGTTAATTAAGTTAATTAAAACGTGCTAGATCTGTTAATCAATTAAGCAATTCACCCTGACTTGATTGACTTGATTGTTGCCAACTCTGCTTCCAATATTGCGTAACTCTACGCTTGAATCGTCACTCTCGACGAACTGACTCATCATGACTGATTTACCAGCGACTTCTAGCAACTCGCATGGGCTGGGAACGGGGATATTGTTTGTTTGCAAATGGCAGTATAAACTGAACTCTTGTTTTAGCAATGACTTGGAGTCAATATTCGGATCGTTGACGTTTTCATATGTTGAGCTTTTCGGGATACGTAGAGCAATGTCGCCGTGTTTAGGGGAGCGAGCTCGATAGACGGCAAATTCTAGCTCTTCGCCAGAGAGAACGATGTTGGTAAGTGACGCCTGGAGCGCGAATGGAGAAGGATCTGTTCCGCTACTTGGCAGATATACTGTTTGCAGTGGTGATACTCGGATGCTTCGTCACCATAGTCACACGATAGTCGGATGTGTCGGATGTGTCGTCACAAGATGGTCGGATGCGTCGGCACCATGGTCTGTTGCCAAGACCCACTTATTTCGCATATATATAGACTCCCGCAACGGACTCCTCTAGCAATACATTCAATGCAGTTCCTCATGCCTCTGGTGCCTCACATAGCTTCACATATACGCTATTTTTTCTCAGCATCACAGCACAACAACAATGACAGGTATTAAAGAAGCTCTCGCAGAGTATGATTTTATGTCATCTGGCGACAAGATCTCGTGGCAGAGAATAGCTGATAAGCATGGTATTATTCGCTCAACGTTGACGCGTAGACACTGCCGCGAAACACGCTCTCGAGAAGAGGTATCAATATCACAACGGAATCTACAACCACAACAGGAAGCAGAGCTTGTAAAGTATATAGAGGGATTGACAGAGCGTAAGCTACCTTCTACAAGAGAGATGGTGCAGAATTTCGCAGCCGATATCGCTGGATTCCCTGTCTGAAAGCTGGGTCACTCGCTTCCTCTGCCGACACCAAGATAAGCTCACATCTCGATGAAGCACTTCTATGGATCCCTAACGCCACGCTGCTGACTTTGGTGATAATTACAAGGTGTAATTGGAACAGCTGGGCAGCAAAATCAACTTCTACGAAGTAGAGCCTGAGCATACATATAATATGGGTGAGAAAGGGCTTCATGAATGGGGCCGTTGATAGACAGAAAAGGATATTCAGTAAGAGGCTGTTTCAGAAGAAGCAGTTTAAGCAGGTGCTATAGGATGGCAATCGCGAGTGGATAAGCTTCTTAGCGTGTGTTTGCGCTAATGGTACGGCGTTGCCGCCAGCTCTCATATATGAGGCTGACTCCAAGAACATACAAACAACTTGGGTGGAGGATGTAGAGGCAGGAGAACATATGGCCTTCTTTGGAGTATCAAGCAGTGGCTGGTCGAACGCTGGGCTTGGTCTTGCCTGGCTTCAGCAGGTATTTGAGCGCTTCACAGCAGGCAAAGCTCGAAGAAAGGACCGCTTATTGCTTGTAGATGGCCATGGCAGCCACCTAACAGAAAAGTTTCTGGAGTACTGCCACAGACATAAGATACTATTAGGTATCTATCCACCTCACAGCACTCACACGCTGCAGCCGCTCGAGGTGGTGATGTTCAAGCCTCTCAGCTACCATTCTACTGGTGACTTACCTGTGCAAGATACGTGTACAAGCATCCTTCGGAAGACCGACGGACCCATTGAGCTGCTCCTTGCTACCAGTGTTCTTGCCAGTTCCCTTATAGCACTTATGCCACACCATCCTACCTGTTCTTTCGTCGAATCTGGGGCTGATAGTCGGTGATCGGACTATCCCCCATCATGTAACCATTGCTCAGCTTGTAGAACTGAGTGATCTGCTCGCGGTCGCTGTCCTGGATCTTGGGAGGGAAGTTGTAGCTCATGATCGAGTTGTAGTTGTTGTTGAGGAACTGAATAGCGCCATGACCCTCGGGCATGATATTCTTCTTATCGTCGCCCGTGATGGCGAACTCGTGGCGTAGGCCGAGGATATGACCAATCTCGTGCTGGAAGATGTTCTTGAGGATGGGTTTGGCGGTCGGATCAAAGGCACGCGAGAAGACGATGACATCCTGGTCGACCTCGTGAGGGAAGAAGGCACGGGCGAGCGTGTTGCGTCCCGACCCAACAGTGGGATTGGGCTTATACACGAGGTAGAAGTTTGCGCTGTCCTGGCCTGTCGTCTCGGAGATGGCGACACCCAGTTCGAGCTCGTTCCATGTATCGGCGGCATCCTGGAACGTTTTGGCTGTAGATCGCGCTTGGTCGGGAGACGTGAAGCTCTCCTCTTGCACAAAGTACTGGAGGACTCTGCCCTGAGTGAGATGAACATCCCAGCGGGGAACAATGGTCCCGTAGCCTACGACGAGGGAGTCGGGCTCGTCCGGGTTGTTGTCACCTGTAGTGCCGGCCAAGTTGGAGATGGGGGCGGGACCAAAAGAGGGATCCTCCTCCTCCTGCGTGTCGCAGGGATACTTGGTGAGCTCCGAGACGGGGATGATGGTCTTCGCCATTGAAGGGACAACAGGGTTGGTTTGGCCAGAGGCTAGCGCTGTAATTGCACGTTCGTTGATATCACCACACCAGGGATCAAATGCTTCGGCCAGTTTGGCAAGTGAGAAGAAATTTGTAGGTTGAGGACTGAGTGACGATCCTTGCCTTGCATTCTACCCGCTTTATATGCTCTCGAATCTCCAATGATCAAGGCGAGGCCCTCGAAGCCTTGCGATTCGCTCCTCGATTCGGCTTGGGCGTGCTGCGAGACCCTGTAGACAGTTAGCTTCCCGGCCTTCCAGCCGCTCCACAAGCTCAGCTGAGAACGGCAACGCCTTAGAGACGCCATGAAAGTCAAGATACCTGCATGTCAAGCATGTTCAACCTATGCAGTGAGCGCCCCCACGAGTTAGGCGAGGGACTACTCTTGATGTGGGATGTCGTCGTGCCGGAGCCGCCGAAGGTGAATTTCAGTTTGTCAAAGTCGATGCAAACTGCTGCATCATGCGTATATCACTTGCATGGCGTCGATTAAGTTTGATGCTTACGATTACAGCGGTGAGCGGTGGTGCCATGTGATTCTAAACGCGGTTGATTTATGTTATCTCAGCAAGCTCAGACGGGATGGGGAGAGAGCCTTGACAGGGGCAAGCCCCTGCTAGTAGCTTCAGTGGCGCAAGCCCCATCTCTCTAGCCAATGAGGGTATAAGAAAGGCTTTCTCTCCCCAGCCGTCTGAGGGACTTTTGTGATTTTTTAGGTGATATCGTGGTTCTAAACCTCCTCCACCATGCACCAGCTCAACTAAGAATTACTGTAGCTCTACCACTTTTCGTCCAAACTAGGTTAGATTTTAATAGGTAATAGAGACAGTCTCTAGCTATATCCTAACATTTTTGTAACCTAATTCTAACAAGATTCAGCAGAGTATTGCGCCATTAAGTCCTGCGCAGGACATTTTGATGACCCCACAACTACACCTCAATGCGACTCCCTAACCACACAATATATCATCTTCAGAATTTAAGACCTGTCTAAGACAGGCTCTATCAGAGAGCCTGCAAAATTTTAGGAGATCTAGGCCGCTGGTTGTCAAGCTGGATAGTAGGCTAGGGACATCGCGATCGCTCTCATGTCTGCAGCTCAACTAGCTGTTGTCTGAGGACTCTGAGGACTCTGAGGATCTCGGAGCTGTCTCAGACTAGCTCTGTCAGGGAGCCTGCAAAATTCTAGGAGATTTGGTCTGCTAGTTGTTAAGCTGTAGTGGATGGTAGTCTAGGGACGTCGCGATCGCCCTCATGTCTGCAGCTCAACCAGCTGTTGTCTGAGGACTCTGAGGATCTAGGAGCTGTCTCAGACTAGCTCTGTCAGGGATCCTGCAAAATCCTAGGGAATTTGGTCTACTAGTTGTCAAGTTCTAGTCAGGAGGGCGATACTATGAATCTGAAATCAGGGTATGGATAGGTCAAACTTCTGCGCGCGTTTAGATTTTTCTCTGCCAATAATAGTTAGAATTTAGTAAAAAATATACTATTTTATAGCTACAGCTTGTCTCTACATTCTATCAAATTCTAAGCCTATTCAGACATATAGTAGTAGAGATATTGTAAATCTAATTCTATTGTGATGCTCTTGAAATAGGCCTATTCATAGAAAAAATCACAAAAGTCCCTCAGACGGCTGAGGAGAGAAACGCTACTGACAGGGGTCAGAAACCGCTAACCCCCCAGGCCATACTCTATTTGGAGTAGCAATATGCATGGTGGTTTGTGCGTCCTCGGTTCTCTCCTCACGTCTGAGCTAGCTGAGATAAGATTTATGTCGTTCAGAGGGACGGGCTAACGCGTCGTTCCGTCTCCCGCCTCGCTTTTACCCGTGTTTCTCGCTTGACGCACGGGCTCACCTGGCGCACGCTCTTCACAAACCCCTACCCCCTTCTATCCTTTTAACTACTTAATAAAAATGCCTAAAAATTTAATATAGTATAGATATTAAGTACTAAAAATGAAATAAATACTAAAATGCTTATAAAATAGTTTATATTATATAGTTTAACAAAGCTTTAGATTTTATTTTTTATTAGATTTTAAGCATTATTTTATAATAACTTATTAATTATACTAGTAAATTCTCTAAATTTTTAGATTACTTTATACTAATTAAAAGCTACTAACGTACCTAACGGGTTGGCCGGCCACACGGGTTGGCCGGCCACTTTTGCTAAGCCTCTACTAAAACCACCCTATTCTCTCGCAAAACAGCCCACTTTAGCCCTGTATAAAGTAATATAACATAAGATATTATTTAAAGTCTACTTCTGCTACTTACTTACACATACGCAAGTTATGCCTAGTCTAATTACACTGCCTGCATTACCTTTAACTTAGCTTACTTTCTTTAGCGCGCACTTGCATCTTTAGCTTCTTTCTATTACTACACGCTTTAAACTCCTTTAGAGCAGTTAGACAAGCCTTATTCTTAACTATTAAGGTTCTTTTTACCTAAATCTGCTTTCTTTTATGTAATCTATATTATGTAGCAGCTTTATTTGCTACTTAAAGCTCTATAATCTTATAGCCTACTTTATTATGTTAATACCTTAGATAACTGTTGTCTACTTTTTATTACCTTACTATATTACCTTTAGCTGTCCTTGTCTTTTTAAAGCTATAACAACTACTCTAGTTAATATCTAGCCTATTATAAAGCCTAACTTGTTAAAGTTATACCTGTCTTTATCCTAGATACTATACTTAGCTTTTATGTTAGCTACTAGGCAAAACTAGCCCTAGATAACCTCTAGATCTTTATAAAGCACTTTTTTATAATTATACTTGTAATTAAACTTTATTATAAACTTAAGGCAGTGCTTAACCTACATACTAGTCTAGTTTAAGCTAACCTAGCCTAGATTGCGCTCTACAGGCAAGGAATTAGCTATATTAGCTACAGCTATAAGCCTAAGGGGAAATCTGTGTGTTATAAGCTTAAGTATATACTTAACAACTACCTTCTTCTTAAGCTTAGTTAGATTCCTTAATTTAGGCTAGCATTCTGCTTGTAAAGGCTGTTTAGCGCGTTAATTGCTTAGTGTTGTGTAAGAGACATTATAGATAGCTGCAGCGCGTTGTAAAAAAAGTTTTAAGTCTTATTTAAGAGCTTAAAGAGTAAGCTGTATCTAACATTATTTAAAAGATTTAATCTAGTGTTGTTGTTAAGGCATTATGTAGATAGGTAGAGTTTGGTGGGGGCTTAGCAAAAGTGGCCGGCCAACCTGTTAGGTACGTTATAAGTTTTTAGTAGTATATTAATTATTTATTTATATAGCTATAAATATTAAAGTACTTTATAAATAAAAAGTAAAAGTAGATAAAAAAGTAATAATTTACTTACTAAGTAAGTAAAACTAATTAAGTACAGCTTAAAAGTAGCTAATAGTAGAGTGTTTACTATATTACTTATAATAAAATAGCTTAAAAGCTTTATTATAGAGTTTTATTTTAAAACTATATTAAAAGTATATTAGTATATTTTACTAAGTACTACTTAAGGCTTAAATAAGTTACTATAAAATTTCAAGTTATAAGTTATAGTTATATAGCTAGTAGTACACTATATTAAAGCTAAAAAGTATTTAAATACTATATTTATAGTTTTTTTTATATACAACATATGTTAATAAAGTGCTTTTTAAGTATAAAGTATAAAGTAGCAGTATATATACTAAATTACTATAATAGAACATAATAGTAGCATATTATTACTTATTTTTAGAAAAATTAAAAATTAAAAATTAAAAATTAAAAATTAAAAATTAAAAATTAAAAATTAAAAATTAAAAATTAAAAAATAAAAACTTAAAAAATTAAAAAATTAAAAATTAAAAGTTTAAAAAATAAAAATCTACTATTTTATATCTTTTATATATATTTAAACTTAAATAAAGCTATTAATATAATTATATAGTAAATTTTAGCTAAATGTAACTATTTATTAGCTTAAAACTTATAAATATAAAGTATTAGTATAATAGCTTTAACTACTAAAAACTACTATACTTTATAGCTTTATAGCTTTATTATAAATAACTATAGTGACTAGGTTTTCTAAGCTTAATTAAGTATTACTTTAAGCTTTTCTTAGCTATACTAAAGTTTTATACTTATTACTATAGTATAAGCTTAGTTACAAGTAAATAAAGTAGGTATAAAATTTTAAACTTTAAATTTCAAGCTTACTTTAAGTAAAATAAAATAAAATATTTAAGTAATTTTACTATTTATTATAACTTTACTATACTATAGCTATAATACACTATAATTTTATTAGAATATCTCCTCTAATTTTAAAGATAGAGGGGGGTAGGTTTTATAGAAATTGTGTGCTAGGTGATGTAACAATTCTTACAAATTGTTCCATCTTGGGTCGCTTAGAACCTATCTAAAGGGTCCCTGTATCAGCCCTAGCTATAACTTAACCCTGTCCTCTGCAGTTACCCCTATTCCTCTAAGTATTTAGTTGCACCTCTCCTCTTACCTAGCTTAGTAATTTTCTAATATCCTTTGTATATAGCCTATAGGTGTTAATAGAATTCCTAGGTTATTAGGTCCCCACGCACTCCTATATGCCTCTGAGTGGATTCATACCGCATTCAGACCTATTGTCTTGCCTGTGCTATTACAGGTAAGACTGTGCGTTAAGCAAGAACAACAGGTAGCGTGTGCAAAGTTTTGTAAAACCTTAGCATAAAAAAATCTATATAGTGTAAGAATTAGCAAAATTCCTTAGCAACACAATAATTTTCCCTGCACATGTATAAACTTATACATAAACTGTACATTTACTTATTTTATATAAGAATTATATAATAACTATTTAATAATCATTAGTAAAACTTAAGGCTATATAAAGATATGTAAAAAGTATACCAATGTGTTTTTTAAAGTTATAGTTTTATGTTTTAAGCCTATATTATCTTTATACGGCTGCTTACGCCTATGTAGGCGCGTTGCGCTTCTAAAATCTCTAGAAAGCTGATAACTAAAGGCTATAGCCTTGTCAGATTGAAGCACTGTTTCTGGGCTTCCTGAGATGAATGATGGGTTTGGATATGATGTATGGGATGATTGATTGATTGTATTCGATCGTGTTTATTTATCGATCCTTTTTCTGCTCTACTCGTGTTGCTCGGCTTTTGTTTTTCCGATCCGAGTCCCTCGCGCACTAGCCCTATGCGCGACCAGCTTGCAACATGCTGCAATTTGCTGCAACATGCTGCAAAATGCTGCAATTTGCTGCAACATGCTGCAATTTGCTGCAACATGCTGCAAAATGCTGCAAAATGCTGCAAAATGCTGCAATTTGCAGCAACATACTGTTCGAGCTTATTGCTCGTACTATGTAGCAGCTTTCGACAAACGTTCCTCCTGTCTTGACAGTAGGTGCGCATATCTGACAAGCCTTTATCTATACTAAAAAATTAAAATATATTACCTCTTTACTACTAGGCTAGCGTTACAACTTTATTACTAGTTATGTTAGTGTGTTATAGTTAGAGCTGTATGTAATTAAGTGTGACTTAAAGCTGCATAGCAGCACTTATAAACTAAGTAATTTAAACGCTATACTTAGCTACCTATATAAAATAGAACTTAAAGATAAGTAAACTTTATTTACTAAGCTTTATTAAAGTAGCTAACTATTTTATAATAAAATAACTTACTAGTTATAGATACTAAGAAGTGTTAAAGTACACTAGTTAATAGTTACTTAGCTACTTAATAATTATAGCTAGAGTAAGCAAGCCCTATGTTCTATCTTTATACTTTATAATAAAGAGCTTTATAAGAGCTACTACTACTATATAAAGTAGTTTACTACTGCTAATTTAGTATTTTTAAATAAGTTTATCTTTAGTAAGAAGACTAGTTAGCAGCACTACACTTACACACTAATAAGCTTTATAAACTATAATATGTAGAACATTTAATAAAAGAAAACCTAGGCAGCTTTACTTATGTTTACTATAAATAGCTACCTGCCTTATATAGGTGTAAAAAAAGGCTATTTTAGCTATAAAGACTTTATAGATTAGATTTATAAGTTACTACTACTTACTTTATATATAGTATAGTGTAACAAAACTATAGTTATAGTCTTTAATAGTATCTTAACTTATATAAATAAGAAAGTTATAAGTAAGATTAAGTAAGCTAGCTATATTATTAAATATTTACTACTCTACTTGCTAAGCTATAACTTAATTAAGCTTATCTTTAGTGTTTTTAAAGCTTAGATTTATAAGTACTATAGCTATATATATAAGTAATTTAATAACTTTAGTACCTTTTTAAAAGCAGCTATCTATAAGAGTTAGTGTAATTAGTTTATAAGAAAGCACTTTAGGCACACTACTAATAGCTTATATAAAATAAAGAGTAAAGAGTCGTTAATTAAGGCTAGGCATAAAATATAAAGATAGTAAAAAGGTAAACAAGTAGTAAAAAGCATAAAGTAGAGAAAATAAGTGTTAATTATATAATAAGTATTATAGTATTAGAAATGTAGTAACATTTTTCTAAAGCGTAACACCTGCAGTCCTGTCTTCTTAGTTTATTACTCTACTACTTATAGTGCTATTGTTACCTATGTTTATAAGTCTTATAGTAGCAGTAGTAGCAGTAGTAGTAGTAGTAGTAGTAGTAGTAGTAGTAGTAGTAGTAGTAGTAGTAGTAGTAGTAGTAGTAGTAGTAGTAGTAGTAGTAGTAGTAGTAG